GGAAACGAAGATAATAATAAGAGAGATATGAAGTAGTTGCTGATGTGCAGTACTGATAGCCGCGATAATTTACGAGACATGCATCAGACATAGCTGGTCCAAGAGGGAGATGGTAATCCATGAATGGGCACTTGTTTGTCAAGATTCCTCTTACAGCTATCCACTGATGTGGCTGTGGTCACCCAGTCTGAGAGAGCATTCTGAACAGGAGAAACTTTTGGTGAGAAAAAATGAAAGCGTATCTGACTGTCTGTTCTTTGATATGAAATCTCTAGAGGGTTGCCTTGAGGAGTGTGTCGATGATGTTCTGGTAATATTTTCATGTTAGAGCGGCTCACTGTACTCAATATATAGTCGATCATCATCAGACCACCTCTTACTCCCCTACAACTCAACCAGAATAATCCCAGATGTTGGAATCTTCCTGCGTAAGGTTTTTGTTTCAGAACTATCATCTACTTGGTTGACCGTCTTTGTACTTAGTTTACGAGATTTATATCTCTTTTGAAGTGGTGGATTTTGTAATAGAAACTACTGTCAACCAAAACAGCCACATCTTCCCGATTCCTAATTTTATGTCATATCTGAACTTGCAGCATTTCCATGTTTCACACTATATATAATTCTATTCCAATCTATCCGTTTATCCAAGAATATTGCGCCCATACCTTTTATTTGTTTACAATAGTCATCCTACTATAGTTTCACGATGATTCCTAAATTGAAACACTCCTTATTGTCTCTGGGTATTTTAATGGATGTTTCGTCTTTGCTTTTATTAAAATTTTTAATTCCATTGTCTGCCATATTATACAATCGCATTCTTGATCGATACCATTGATTTAATTGGTTGAATCTCACCCTAGAGGAACAGGTTCCTAGCCTACTAAATAATAAGAATATTTTTCGTTTTGAACAGCTGACTGCTAATTCTAAAACAGTTTGATTGATGGAAATTTTGTCTATTTTGTGTAGCACGTCGCTTGATTTGTCGAGCAGTTATTGTATATCATATCGTGTCATCATTCATTGTCACGTACAGACATCTCATCTTCTGGAAAACATATTTGCGCTAGGTCGTCTTCCGTATGACAACTGTTACTACGTCTTTGTGGTCATCCATTTTTGGCTTCTACCAGTCTTCATCATGGGGTGTATTGAAGATTACACCTAATCGTCGCGTAGTCTTCTCTAGAGCAGCTAAGATGGGGAACATTCTTTTCCCCTTCCATTGTCTGGTATGACCATGGTAAATATTACTGAACTATGTTCACTACTACCTATTGGTGCCTGGATGTAGATATCTTCAACCAAAAACTGATTATTTGTCACCAAATAAATTAAGTTTAATGATTATCCGTTCCTTTCCTTTTCGTGATGCCACCTGAATGATTAGTCAGTCATAAACTTCTTATGGCTCCGACAAGTCGCCTATGTAACCACCCTGTAGGAGTAGTATCCTGCTTGCTGAGAATTTGGTCAAACTCAGGTAAAATAGATTTAGTACCGCTTGTGTTGTCTTATTTTTTGGGTGTTGGAAACTGTGAGGGGGACCAGTATATTCCTACAAACTAGTATTTTGTGCCGTTTACACTGGTGCAACACCACGATAATTATCGCATGGTTAATTTGGTACTGTGTGATGTGTCCTTGAAGTAACTGTTGGCGTATATTCCCATCCTACCTCATGTTCTGTGCACTCTGTCATATTAGAAAAGAGTCCTGTCTTACAAGCTCGCTTCTTAATCCACCATGTCGGGCGGTAGCCATATTTCAGTGAGGACAGTGTAAAGTGTGTTCCATTAGCGAAACCGTGATATCTTCGTTCTGCATCGAGGTTGATTGACACTAAGGCGTGTTTGGTTAGGGTTTTCTGCTATTACTTTGCCGATCTGTCTAATTTATTAATATCCAATGTAATTTGAGAAAACATTTTTCGAGTTGTGCCACGTCTGAGATGACTATGTTGAGTACTCTGTTATTGAAATTCATGGCCAACAGGCGCGAGGGCTTAATGGTCGTGAAGTGTAACAGACGATGTAGCCTAGATAGGCTTTTATTGTGTTAGTGTGAAGGTCCATGCTGATTTATAGCATAACATGTTCGTGAGCCTCGTTCCGGTTACGACCTACTGGCTGAGGCGCTTCATGAACCTCTATGCTGGTTATTTACTGTTGTTTTGATCTTCTGGCGGCATCTCTTACGGCTCACGTTTGTGTGTCTAACTCGGATTTGAGAGAATCTCTCAACAAATGGTTTTTGAGATGTCAGCTAAAATTATTCTGCAATGTTTTCTGGGCCTATAGTTACCTTCAGTGGAATAGGTTTACTTTTGTTATGCTTTGATCCTCAAACAGAAGGCAAAGTGTGGCTGAAGTGATGCTTCCTCTAAGTGCTGTACACTATTGGTCCAACTGTAGCTCTTCTGGGGCCATGCTGGTCCCAAGTTCTGGTAAAAGCGAGGGATTGGGCGCGAAGTGAGCACCTTCATCCGGTAGAAAACACCTTTGCGAAAAGGACGCCAACTCCGGCTTGGTAGCTGAAGGAAGAGTCATGATATCTCATGATGAAAGCTAAGATTCGACGAAAATCATGAGGCTGATGCCCCTTCTAACAACCAGATCAAAGATTAATTTAGATACATGAAATCTTCAGACAAAGTTAAAGATCGGAAGGACCAACCACATGGCTGCGCAAATGAAGAGACACAACTTGATGGTGCATGGAATAAATGAAGCCCATTGAACCAAAGCTGGACAGAAAAGAATAGATTCCGAAGACATGCTGCTGTACATCGGACACGAAGAAGAAAATGCTTCATACAATGAGGTTAGTTGTTAAGATGCTGTACAAAGCAGCACATAAAGCACCTATAGGATGGGAATCTTATGGATCCAGGATCGTCAAAACGAAGGATGAAATTATAATGAATGTTATCGGGTGTTATGCACCCACGGATGATTTCAATGATGACAATAAAGATCAGTTTCACAACAGTCCGCAACTGATCATAGCGAAATGCTCAGGAAAGAACCTATCCATTCTGACGGGAGACCTAAATGCCAAAGTCGGAATGGACTACACATGGCCTGAAGTATCATAGGATGACATGGAGTGGGAGAAAGGAATGAGAAAGGTGACAGATTTACAAATCTATGTTCATTCATCAAAAGAGTTGTAGGCGGCACAATATTTCTCCAAGAAACGCATACACAAACCTACATAGGTCTCACGTGATTATACTGCAGAGAATCAGGTCGATCATATCTGTATCACCAAAAAATTCAGATCAATAGAAGATGTGAGAAACAGGAGAGAAGCTCACCTGTCTGCAGATCACTCGACAACTGAGGAAACTGAATCACACAGATTTCATGCGACGAATTAGTGATGGCTCTCAACAACGGGTTTCAAGAATTACAAGATCTACTCAGAGAAGAAGAAAACTACGATGTAGAACAATTGGAAAGGGATCTAACAAGCACCAATTTCAACATGTCAGAGGGTTCTGGGTCGCAAGAAGCATCATTATAAGAAATGAATCACTAACGAAACCCTGGACTAAAGGAATGAAGAACATGACATCAATCAAAAAACAACCAGACTCACAAGAGCAGAGAAAACCAAAGCCAAAACGGAGTACAGACTGGAAAACAAACAATTGAAAAAGAACATTAGAGTTGACAAACAGAAATACGTGAAGGTCTTAGCAAGCACAGTGTAAAAAGCTGGGAAAGAAGGAAATTCGAGACAACTATATGACGCTACGAAGAAAATGACAGGAATATCTAGTAAACCAGATCTAACAGCCACGAACAAACAAGACAAGCCAACCACTGAGACTGACGAACGGTGGAACAAGTGATTGGATCACTCATTTCATCAACGATAGAAGAAATCAGGATGGCCATCAGACAGATCAACAGTGGGAAAGCAGTAGGACCTGATAACATACCAGCTGAAGTCAGGCATGAAAGTAACTGAAAAAATACTTCACATTCTATTCTGGAAGATTTAGGAGGAAGAACAAATGCCGACAGAATGGAAAGAAGGATAGATCATCAAGATACCTAAGAAAGGAGATCTCAGTAAGTGTGAGAATTATAAAAGCATTACACTACCATCCGTAACAAGAAACGTTTCCAACAGTGTTGCTGAACTAGATGAAAGATTCAGTAGACACTCAGCTTCGAGTTAAACAAGTCAGATTCCGTAAGGACAGGTCGTGCACAGACCAATTGAGATATTACGGATCAACGTTGAACAATCCATTGAATGGAATTCGTCACTATACACGAACTTTATTTATTATGAGAAAGCATCTGACGGTGTGGCTAGAACATTATGGAACCTATTTCGAATCTATGGTGTACCTGGAGAAATCGTCAACATCATTCGGAATTCGTATGATGAACTACACTGCGAAGTCGTACATGGAAGACATCTTACAGATGCATTCCAAGTGAGGACCAATGACAGGCAAGGTTGCTCACTCTCCCGCTTTCTCTTTATTCTGGTGGTTGACTGGATTATGAAGACCCTCACATGTGAGAGGAAGCACAAAATACGGTAGATAGTTTGGATGCAGCTAGACGATTCGGACATCTCAGATAACCTATCTCTTCTATCCCATACACACCAATAATTGCAGGTGAAGACAACCAGTGTAGCACCAGCATCTGTAGCAGTAGGCCTCAACATACACAAGGGAAGAGGCGACATCCTCAAAAACAACATGGGGAGAAACACCAACCTAATCACACTGGGTGGCGGAACTCTGGAAGATGTGGAAACTTTCATGTGGCTGGTTAGTATCATCAATGAACAAGGAAGATCTGATGCAAATGTGAAGGCAGTGATTGGCAACAATAGGACAGCATTGTACATTTGAAGAAGATATGGAGCTCAAAAAAACTGTATGTCAACCAGTTTCAAAGTCAGAATCTTCAATACGACCATCAAAACAGTTACACTATGCGGGGCTGAAACTACTACAACTAATGAGCATCCTTGATCTTCACTTTGACAATGAAACTCGTTATGTATGCTACGGCTTATTCTGTCTCCTCTTTTGTAAATAGAAATTTAATACTATGGAACATGAACCTGTATTTTAAAGTTCTTTTATAAGAAACGTGCTTAAGCATATTTTTGATGTCGAAAATACAAAACTGTTGGCAAAATTGAAACTATGTTTATTGAGCTTGTAGCCAGAAAATTCTGAAATGTCATTCGGAATAACCATTTAATAAATTATTGTTTTAATGAATGTCTGTTTACGCCTTTTGGTAACACTGTATCAGCGCTCGTAACGAAAACTCGCATTCTGATCTCATGTTTTTGAAAACATCCTCAATAATTAGAGGAATTCTGTGTCAGTATTTGATTTTAATTGACTCACTAGCTTTCTATAATTGGCTTGGTTAAAGGATTTCAGATGATTATACATCAGGAGTTCATTAGTGGACAATATTGACCTTAGATGTTTTAGATCCTTCCCTGTTCTTGATCTATATTAACAACCTTTTGGATAAAATTACCGTAGAAGCACTAATCTTGGCAGATGATGCAAAGTTTTGGAGGTCCATCTGGAGCGAAAAAGATTCACATTCCATTATTTTTTCGGACTATATTCGCTTAAGCGAATAAGTATAAACAAATTTGTTTATACTTGTTCATCAATAGTGTTACTGCATTATTTCGACTCTTAGTAATCATCTTGTTAATTCCATCTCGTCATACTAATGTGTTATAGCAATTTTTTTACAGCGCATTTGTGACGGTCTAATTTAATCGTGACTGGTTGATTTTTAAGTAGATTGAACTTTGCGTTATAGAAACCAATCATAATGCATAACAAGCCACATATCAACCAACAAACACTGGTAAATAATACTCACTATTAAAAATGAAAGAGTTTTATATTTCATTTTTGATTTCGTCTATACAATTGACCCACAAATACTTCGATAGTCGTAGTTCAGGCAGAGACGGAAGCTCTTATGTACTGATGAGTTAATCAATAGGTAAAGTCGCGTAGACAGACTTTAAGAGTCTTGATAAGTTTTATCAGCCATGGCTTCGTTAAACTATCCAGTCTGATTCCCGTTCGTCGTGAAAAATGTCAATAAATAGGTTCCTGCCTAAATCTACTATATTTTTATGTTAGCATTTAGGTTGTACCATGCAGCTTTTTTCAATTCCCTCTTGCACATTTTCTAGTGTAGTTGTCAAGTCTATGTGCTTCCACTTTATAGCTCTGCTGCTTTTCCCCACTAGTTTGTTTGCTTCTGTATCCTCAGTATATGGCTCGACTTTCCGTGCCTTTTTTCGACTATTGTTGACTTCGGCTTGTTTCTCTTTTCGTGAATATTGCATGAGCTATCCAAAGAGATCGGTTGTTGGTGCTGCTGCTCGTTGGAGCTCAGAAGCTTCCGACATACTGAAGTTGCTGATTCTTTAATTCCTTTCCAGTTCTTCTTCACAGTGGTCACATCCTTATTCATCAGATCTTGCAAAACTTGTTGCTTGTTGCTGAAAGTTATATTGAAGTCACAGAGCCTGTCAGCATCTCGAAGGATTATTGCATTAAACTTTTGCAGTACTGTTTGTCCGATGCTTGCTTAGCTTTCGTTTGAGCCTGCTCACTGCTAGATGGTCATCTGAAGTTTAATCAGTTCCTTTCTTTGTTTTTCTGTCTTCTATGTACCTTTCTAATTTTTTCTTCCCCTTATGTGACCAATTTGGATTTCCTTAGTGTGATCTGACGAAGCCTGTGAAACTTAGTGTATGGAATTGTGGGAGGAAATGCTGACACCTATGACCATGTTGCTGAAAGCACGCAAATCTACTGGTGTCTAGCCTTAATCGCTTCTTTCTCCCAGTTCATGTCCTCTCATGATGCTTCAATACTTGGTGTTGTTCATCCTGACAGCGGCTTTCAAGTCCCCTATCTGGATATAAGGTTTTCTCCTGGAGCGTTGTCTACAGTGAATTATGGTCTCATGAAGCTCGTTTCCGCTGCTTTCACTGATGAGCGGTAAAACTGGATGACATTGTAATCCTATTGTTTTGAAGTATGCTTTGATGATCCTGGATCTATGAGATTCCCACCTTAAAAATGCTTTCTACACATCTCTGGATAGCATTATTGCAACTCCTTTTGCGTGCCAGACATTTTACTCTTCATGACCAGAATACAGTAGCACGTCTCTCGAGACTAATGTTTCATGTCGTACTTGCATCCTATGAGTTTCACTTACTGCGAGCACTCCCCAGGTTGCATGTTCTCATTCTCTCAGCTAACTGAATAACTCTCAGTCTCCTACATTGTGCGGACAACTTTACTTATCTTGGAAGTCTGATCATCAACCCTCGTTTGGCTTTTACTAACTTACGTCACTTATGGCAACGACGAGATATCCGTTTATCAATTAAGGAACGAGTATACTGTGCAGCAGTTCACTCTGTTCTACTTTACGGCTACGAAACGTGGCCATTAAGATTAGAAGATACTCGTAATTTACTAGTATTTGACCACAGATGTCTTATAAATATTGCTCGCATCTGCCGGGATCATCGGATAGGTAATAGTGAGGTTAGACACAGAGTATTAGGGAATGATGGTAAATCAGTTGATGAGGCTGCGAGTCTTCATCAACTGAGATGGTTGGACCACATGTTACGTATGCCTGAACATCGATTACCACGACGCGCTTTGCTGACTAGTATTGGGTATGGTTGGAAAAGAGTTAGGGGTGGTCAAACTAAAACGTGGCATCAGTGCTTAAAGTCACTAACTTTTGATCTGAGCTATGTTGGTAGATGCAGACTACTTGTTTGGGGTCCGCGTGTCTATCGTAACCAATGGTTGGAGACTCTGTGTGACATGGCTCAGAATCGATGACAATGGTGTAGATGTATACACTCTTTGTCTTCTCTTAAACCTTGAGATTAAAATTGCTTCATAACTTTTTTCCTTCCTACACTATATCCTTCTATACTACCTTTCTCTATATACTACCACCACTAAATTAATTACTCCTATGAATCCGGTGTTCATCTTGTTGTGCTAACGAGGTATGGCAACTTGGACCGATGCATAAATGTGCGTGGTCCTACGTTGTTGCTGACTGACTGACTCTGATTGTCGGAAGAGGGATTGATTGAATGACTTTCAGAGAATCTCGAGTCTCACCATGAGGCGCCATAACTCGTCTATGTGAAGACCCTTAAACTCCCAGAGCCGAGTTAAATGTCTGAGTTGATTTTCTTGGTTAACGTTTTTGTAGCTGGGTTCTGGTTTGCGTTATGGGGTTGCTAAATCCATTCTCAGCCCTCTTTTCTCTGGGATTTGAACCCGCATCAACCTTATAAATGTTTCGGACTGAGTTTGTACCAAGCCTTGTGTTGTTTAAGGTAGTCTCTCCTATCGGAACAAGAGTTTATTTATTTTATTTTTCTCCTTTAGACCTAATCGCATCCATATTTTACATGTTCTTATTGAAAAACATTGTTTTATAGTTGGTTTTTCTTGAAGGAATATTACAGCTGCACATATGCTGAAATTTTTCATGGTGTTTAACGTTTCTTATCGATAGATTATTTATTTAAGAGTAACGGGGTTCTAGTCTACTGATTTAGGCATCAAAGATTTGTATTGTTTTAGAAGTTAATTGACGTTAATCGTTTTTCTCGCAATAATATAGTAGTGATACAAAGAATAATTGACCAGTTTTTCTGATTCTTTAACTTTGGTTGACCTTACTTAAGAAAGAGAAATAACTTGTAATCTCATGGTAATAACTTGACGAATAAAAGTTTGTCACTTTAATAATAATTGAGTATAAAATCTGTTATTTGAGGAAAAGTAGATCATGATCAGCAAATGGACTTTAGAGTGCATTCTATCTAACCGAAAAGATTCGACAGTTATATTTGAAGTTATAATGAGTTGCCCTTCAATTTCACTTCTCATTATTATTCAGTTTATTGATCATAGTAAATTTTTTACAGAAACGCCAAAACGTATCTCAATATGACGTCAATATTATCCCATCATCCCGTGTTTGTTAATAATTATACAAACATGTGCAAACCAAATCTTATAAACCATAATCTGAAATCAACTGATGAAACCAACTTCAAATGTACGAATGGCCCAACGTACAATATTGATCTATTACAATGGCAAACAAATACACCAAGCAATTCATTGGATCGGTTACGATTGCGCAGTAAGCATTAGTTTCAATTTTAAGATTGAGCTTCTGTTTTATAATTTCAGTAAAAGATAATAATTAATTTTAATGTCTGTATTTTTAGCTAAGACGGTTTTAATTTGGAGGAGTATTTTGAATTTCAATCGGCTAAATGATCTCCCTTAAACTAAAGGAGGTCGGTAGCCTATTGTTCAAACAAACAGTAGATATACAGTGGTTAAAGATAAAAATATCGGATTCTGTCTGACTAAAAAATGACAGGAATTTTGACTGGGTAGCAAAAGTGTCGACATACTGAGTATTTTTGTCATTTGGGTTTACTGTTTAACATACTTGTTAAATTTTTAACCGATTTTTTATCATACAGGAAAAACTCACAAGAGAGTAACCCTCAATTCTATATTTTCTACGTTGAATATGTTTCAATGGTTTCAGGATTGTGATTCATTAGATTGTGGTAATTTCGTGTCATAATTGAATGTTAAGTTTTTTTTCAGTAATTTTTCCGGACAAATATGAAAAGGGTAATCTTTTATGTCATTATTTTATAATAAACTGATTTGTTTGGAAAACTTTAAAAAACTTCTTCACGACTCAATGATCTTTGAGTGTTTCAACTTCAGTTTACTGAAAAGTTATGATCTACTTTGTGCATATTATTTGGGCTACATTAGTCTTCCTAAGTCCAATCATCAAGAAATCATCGATGGTGTGATAAACTAACAAGAATATACAACGCTTAGACACGTTGGATTTTCTATTTTGGTGAATCTTAAAGCTTATCAGCGGAAGTTGGAAGGAAATAGTACTCGATTGTTAGTTTACTTTCAGGATTATTAACATCCAGTGAAAGATGATTAGGTGGTGCAGATACTTTGTATGAATAACAATAAAACAGGAATGACTTCTTATTAACTATAATGATGAGTTACAACAACTCAGTTTACTGTATTTAGAGTTGAGTTGAAGTATTAGGATTTTAATTGATTCACAAATGAATATGCATTCGGAAGAATACTTTATTGATGGAACAAAAATCATACTTTACAGCTATCTGTTAAAGTGACTTCATAAAAGCGTTCATTATAATGAAAACCTTCAGTAATTTAGTTAATTTGTTGATTTAATGTTCATGATTAGATATAAAGCCCTAATTTTTATAGGTTTAAGCATGAATAAGTATAGTTTAAATTTTCATTTTACTGAAAATGTAGATGGTACTGAGTAAGTGAGTAGTTTACAAAGGAATAATATCTAGTCTAAGGATAAACACTGAAGAATCCAAGACACTGAAATTTCCAATTAACTTTTTTAAGCACTTCGATTATATCCAACCTTGTTTGACGCTGAGGATCATATTATGTATTCCTCTCATATACGCCAATAAACTGACTAGTCATTTGCTGTTGTTATGGACTGTACGTGATATTACATGATTGAAAGCTATCTGTATATAGCCGTCTGTAGCTCTTCTAGAGTTACTACCAGTTCCAAGCACAGATAAAGGAGGAAGATTGGGAATGAGATGAGCAACCCCATCCCGCAGAAAAAAACCGTGCTAAAAAAACGCTAACTAGCAAATAGTCACCCAGTTGTTTTGTATATTTAAAAAGTGATTACAATGTTATTTCTGGAACTCTTCACAAATTGGTCCCGTATTGAGAGATATTAGTGTCAAGTAAACTTTCTAAATACATCTTATTTTATTCACAACTGTATTCGGTATTATAATAATAAGTCCATTCATTCTTAAATTCTACAAAACTTTATCTATATTTCATGTAAATTATCAGGTAATCGTCGAAAAGATTATATTCGTGAAAATATTCGTCATCTAAGACAATTAGAAGACAGTATGGCATTTAAAAAACGTGTTGCGGAACAATGCGGTACATCAGTTGTCTCAACAGATCGTACAAAAAACAAATTTATCACATATCATAATGCACAAACTAGACGATCACAATCAAATGAAAATGTTATATCCTCTGAGGTAATAAAGACGACTACAGTTTTTTTTATCTAATATAATGTATGTATGGTAAAAACTCCTACTAGTTTTTCATGAGAACTCTCATCAACTGAAAAGCCTCTAAAAATATAGCTTCTCCCTAAGATTTTGAAAACATGCAACTTGAATTGTATCACCGATATAAAGAGTAAAGTAGCATTTATTAAATTAATATGTGAATGTTTGATTGAATTCCAATTATCAGAAGTGGATTTTGTGAAGATTTTAATAATTTTATAGTTGAAATCACGAGTCGATTGAAGCTAAATCACAATGAAAAACCTGGAAGCACTGAACGGCCGTTTCGTCCTATTGTGAGACTCCTCAAGTGTGCGCACCCACGATTCCGCCTCGCGAAATTCGAATCCCGCGCGCGAGCAGTTAACCTCTATACCACTGAGGTTCTAATGATCAGTGACCAGTGGAGTTCAACCGCGTCTATTGTGAGAAAGTAACTCCCTGTAGACAATGATGGATGATGGCTCAACTTCTTAGATTAGTTGAAGTTAAACATTAACACCGTTAGATGCCGGCTCAGTGGTCTGGAGATTAAGCGTCTGTGTGAGACTCCAGGGTCCTGGATCCGAGTCCCTTCAGTGTTGGACTATGGATTCGCATAGCTGAAGAGTTCCGTAATAGAACGAAACGGCCTTCCAGATTTTCCATGGTTGTCTAGCTTCAACTGCTTCATGATTTCAACTATAAATTCCAATTATTTTACATTTAGATTTTTTGAAATCTTTTTTAAATCCCCCTATTTATCTGTAGTTATCTTTAATAGTTAGATTTCTAATTCAAATTTTAATAAATTTATTATTTATATTATATATTTTGTTGTTGCTTTAGTTAAAAAAGTTGTTGTGGTCTTATGTCCGGCTTTTTATCACGTGATTTATCCACCAATCGGAATACGAATTTTCCGATCTTAGCATCGTGCTAAACCAATGACTTCGACCGTTATGAGCAGCCTAGCGTCCTTATTGGTCCTTTATCCGCCTAGCCCTTCAAGTTGAGTCCAGAACATCAATAACAGCTTCTGTTATGTGAATCATTTATTTTAAGTATAGTTGGTTTATATATCAGACAGACAGACCTCGTCGCACCATAAAATACAAAATAATATTTGTACAAGACCAAGCCAAATGTGGCTGTGAACGTGAGAGACAGTAATCAATAAAATGAGTATAATTTAGGATCAGTAAGCCGTATAATAATAATTCATAGGTCAAAATAAAGCTTATAATAAAATGAATATAGATATACACAATCTAGTTACTCAATAGTTAAACCATACGTATATATATATATATAGAATAATATTCAAATAATAGGTCCTGGACATTACCTGTACTTATGTCTTCACTAGGATATAACAACAATACCTTCTATTCAGTGATCGGTTGATGTTTTAAAGTCAATATAAGTAACTTAAGAAAGTAATTGATGAATTGTTTTCCTTTACCTTGTTTATTAGACTAGATTTAATACATCAAATCAGTCATTAACAAAAACTGCCCCAATCCAACATAATAAACATAATCATCCTATCATACAAAATAAATGTAATACTGATTTAAACAAAATTGATAATGATCAATATGTACAATCAAATAACTTGACAATATCTACACAAACTAATGATGATGATAGTTATATGGATGAATTCAAACAACAACCTATTACCCCGCGCAAATCAAATTCAAATAATGTCACTTCTAAAACTATTCAACATCCAATATTAACACCAATTCAAACAAATAAAAAAACTGAATATTTACGTGCACATTCAAATCATGTTGATAATGATGTGGATTTAAAATATTTAAGTAATATACCTATTACATCTATACAGAAACAATTGAATTCAGCTAAATTATCTGTACCTAAAGCTGAATCAGCTAAAAATGTAAGTTTATTTATTCAATCTATGGTAATAGTGATAAAAGTGTAAGTGATGTGTGGGCGAGAATGACAATGATTGTTGTCTCGGTGAGTCAAACATTAGATAGGATGACAGGTGTTATATGTATTATATATATATTCCCCTATCTTGACTGTTCCTTGTGTCGGATTGTGGTGTGGATATATATTGACGTTCTAGTCATGCTAATCTCCTGTTCTTGATCTGAGTTGTGTTGAAGTGCTGTAGAATAGACACTGGCTGGGGAATCTAGTTAAGATATTCGTCTAAGGTAAATTAACGTCCCACATACGTGTAGAAAGTGAAAGGACTGTTACAACAAGAAACCCTAGAGTTATAACAAGTATCCTATTGTTTATAACAGTAAGTAAATTTCATTCATTGAAATCAATAATAATTTTCATCTTTAGGATTAATAAGGACTAAAAACCCGGTGAACAACTGTTACATTCTAACTTTCAGCTCCATAGGAAAACCAGATCTGGAGTTAACATCGATTTTCAGTAGTTTTGTATGTGATGACAGTCCACGATAAAAATTCTATTATTGATCAGTAGAATTCTCGATTCAAAAAAGTATTTGAACTTAATTTTAAAATCAAAATAAACTTGATTGTTGTTGTTCTTCAACCTATAGAGTTTATTTATTTATTTAAACACATATATATTGGTACAAAAGGGCACCAGGTACATATGCGCCACACAAAATAATGAAAGTAGGAAGAGAAAGGATGAAAAGATAAGGCGGACTGAAATGTACAACCAGAAGACTCTTTCAGTTAGGAAAGTTAGAACCATTCTTTATGTAGAAAGTAAAAGAAGGTTGCAGCAGGATCGCCACTGGCTTCTATTCTGAGCCATATCTGATAACGTCTCTAGCCACTGTGTTGCACCATCTCTCGGACCCCAACCAGGGAGTCGTGAAGGACCAACGGAAGCTAGCCCTTTGCAGCTCTCTTTCATGCCACGACACCATGTCATACACTGACCTCCTCTCCGCTTTTTCTAACCAGTCCCAGGGTCGGCATATAATGCACGGCGTGGAAGTCTCTGGGACGACATTCGTAAAACATGTCCAAGCCACCGAAGTCGATGTTTCAAGATGGTGACACCAATTGAATTATCGTCTCTTCGCCCGAACACACGATGCCGAATCTCTGCATTACTAATATGGTGTTGCCACTGGATGTCAGCAATCCTTCGGAGACAACGATGATCGAACACAGAGAGACGTCTAACATCCTCAACTCGGAGAGGCCAGGTTTCACAAGCATAGAGCGAAACTGCTCTCACCGACGCAATGTAGACCCGACCTTTTACAGCCAGACTAATGGCCGAGATTGGCATAAGCCGCTCTGGCCTTCATTATACGTGCATCAATCTCATCACTCACGCCACCACCAGCACTTATATAGCTACCTAGATACACGAACTTCTCAACTACTTCGATCTCCTCACCATCCAGGGTGAGTACAGGATGAGAATCCTGCCAGTCTTGTAGGAGTACCTTGCACTTGGAGGGTGCAAAGCACATGCCGTGCCTGCAGACACTGATTGCCAACTGATTAAGTGCTGATTGCATGCCTTGGGCATTATCGCACAGTAAGACAATATCATCCGCATACTCAAGGTCGAGAGGTCGTTCTCCAGGCAACATATCCACACCAGCATTACTTACATCCATCAGAGCTGTTTACAGGATGTCGTCGATGGCAAAGTTGAAGAGGAATGGTGAGATCGGGCAACCCTGCCTAACCCCACTGCTCGAATGAAACAAGGGAGAAAGGTGATTGTATGTCCTCACTCTGCCTGAGGTGTTCGTATACTGGGCCTTTAAGATGTTAATGAACTTCTCAGGCACACCCTTCTTCAATAGACAATCCCAGAGAACAGTCCTGTCCAACGAATCGAAGGCAGCCCTGATATCAAGAAAAACTACGATTGTTGGCCCGCGATAAGTATGATGGTGTTCTAACATTTGGCGAAGGGTGAAGATATGATCAATACATCCTCAACCAGAACAAAAACCAGCCTGCTCCTCGCGAGTCAATCGTTCTCGGGTTTTAAACAACCTACGAAGAATGATAGAAGCCAATAGTTTGGACGCAATCGGAACTAGACGTTTTCTCAGATACTTGTTACAGGAACAACGTGAACCCTTTTTAAAGATAGGGACGACTATCGACTCATTCCATGATGTTGGAATACTTTCTTGCTCCCAAACCTTTCCAAACAACACAGTCAGTTCCTTAGCCAGAAAGTCACCATCGTCTTTAAAAAGAGCCGGAGGTAAGTCATCTGGGCCCGGTGTTTTGTAGCGTTTCAAGAGTTGGAGTTCCTTGCGGACTTCCGCCTCGTTTGGTGGATCAGTCGTCACCGGCCATGGGGGGCAGGACAAGCTGGTTGATGTTGCCGGAGCAGCAGGCCAGTTGAACTGCCCTTCGAAAAATTCAACCCATCGTCCAAGACGTCGAGAGATGTTAGTGATTGGCATCCCGTCATCCTCGTAGATTGTTTCACTCACACCAGACTTCTTGCTGCCAGTGACTCGGATGAGTTGGGAGAGCTTCCGGCAGTTACCAGATGCAGCTGCTGCTTCCATCTCATTAGCACGCTCCGACCACCAGGCTTCCCGGTCCTTACGCAAGCTTTGCCCGATTTCATAACGTAACAGCCTTCGTTTGTGGTCAAACTCACGGTCACCCGGAGTAGACCAACGGGCTTCCATCAGTTGTAAGGAGCCAGAAGAAACCCAGTGCTTGTAAGCGGGACGTTTCGCGAAGCCGCAAGCGGCTTTACTCGCCATTTTCATGGCGTCGTGAAGATGCAACCAATGCTCATCTATACTTTTCGGTGGGATGGTAGCTAGCCTAGAAGCTAACTCCGCCCGATACTTACTTGCAACAGAAGTTCCAGCCAGTTTACTATTATCAATCCGTTGGTGGTGGTCAATCCTTCGGCCACTGAAAAGTAAGGTGAGATTGGCGCAGACCAGGGCATGATCAGATTCCAGATAGGTACTCCAAAAGGAGCGGCAGTCTTGTACACAACCACGCCAGCGGTAGCTGATCGCGATGTGATCAATCTGAGTCCAGGCTTGGGATGCAGAGGGAGGACGCCAGGTGGCACACCGGCGATGACTGTGCCGGAAGTTAGTGCTGGCCAGAAACAGGTTGTGGTCTGTGCACAGTTGCAGCAAAGGTCCCCGTTATCTGTCCTGCGACCAACAAGTCCCCATCGGCCACCTAGACGACTCTCTTCTACGCCTAGACGCCCGACCTGTGCATTCAAGTCTCCGGCTAGTACTACAATATCTGTCGAACGCGCTTTCTGGAGAAGAACTGTTAACTGATGGTAAAACTCATCCTTGATTGCATCCGGGCTGCAATCTGTCGGGGCATAGGCGGAGATGACGAAAAGACACCGTTTCTCACGCCGATTTCTCACTTTGATGGAATTTTCTAATCTAACAGCACATAACCGACTGTTAGTGGGGATCCAATCGATTAGTGCTGCCTCAGCCCTAGCGCATAGTGCGACACCAACGCCAGCAAGACCAGACGAAGATGCCACAGGGTCCCCGGATAAGCGCACGTGGAACAAGCTTTTCGAGGCGACAGATGTAGAGCGGATTTGTAGTACTTCACTAGAGTCTTGAATACGGGTCTCGGATAGACAACAAACATCAACATTAAGACCTTCCAAAGACATAGCCAGCCCTATCTGTTGTCTGATATGTATTAGTGTGCGAACGTTGAAGGAAGCCAGCTTGAACGGCGTACGTGGTTTCAGAAAGACTGCTTCAGAGTTCGTAATCGGTGGAAGCATTCACTTTCAACCAGACAGTGACTGGAGATCGTTTAGATAGGACAGATTTTCCACCATGGGCGAGCTGCTGCATAAGTTGAAAAGTAAGGTTACAGAAATTGGGGATAAAAGGGGGTGAGTTAGCGATATGGTAAATAATAATATTTATAATAAAGGTAATAATAATAATAATGTAAATTGTCTTGCTTTTAGTATGAGCAGGGATATTATCGCCAATAGAGTTCATCATTTCATTCATTTGTGTGTGGGCTGTGATACTGCCCAGGTGCCCAAACCGAAGCAGGTGGTTTTCTTAGGGGACCACACCCTGAGCCTTTGACCTAAAGGTCTGATCCACAAGGCAGTGGAGCATCGTGAGGAGATGCAGTCCCATGGTAACCGGTGACCAACAGTTGGTTCATGCGCCATTTGTTCCCTCGGGATACTGGAGCCAGCCCATGTGCACCATTGGTTTGGAATCAGGGTTTTCTAACTCCCCTAGGTGGAATTTCCATGTCCACCAACCCGGTTAAATCGCCGAACATTCGCTTTTCGTCCTCTCAATTTCGTAAACAACAGTAATGCCACGAGAAGGCAGTGAGTAGGACTTACCTGGCAGAGGCTATATATTCGCTGGCCATGTGAGAGCATTTCGAGAGGGAGAGTAGACTCTCCCCACTCTCGGACGTACCAGGGCATTTGGGGGATAGAGTTAAGAGATTTCGGTATCCTTGTTGTTGGAATTTAAGTAAAAATAAATCAAAAATGATATCTACATCATTAGCATTATTGTTTGAACTTTTTAATTACTAAATCTGTCACTGTGATTTGCATTTAAACTGATTTCATAGCTCAGGTGGATGATGACAGCATTCGGAAGAACGATGAAAGTTTCATGACTAAACAATCCAGCTGAGAGAACAAAGCTCCATCAAAAAAATTGTCTGCCTTTTTATTTTAATCTTATCCCCCTTTGATTTAATTCTTGGTCCCATATTTGTTCATGATTTTTGCGATTGGTTCATTGGATTGGATCGATTTCTATATGTTTGTTGATTGCTGATTGACCTGAGTGCCAAACTTTAGGCGTTTTTGGTATTTCCTTTATCCAAGATTTCAACATTTTTCCAGTTGAATGTGTGTACGCAGTTGTTCACATGCGTTGATATAAGCAATGACATGTCATAGTACCGCCAACTTGACGGAAAAAAGACGACAGCCAACTGGCCGCATAAGAACAAAAACGCTTAAAGAAACTCAGAACTAGAGATGTCATAGTTCCAGTTGACAGAGGACACACTTCAGTAATTATGGACGACGAAGAATATATCAGAAAAGCCGAGGAACTACTGAGTGATAAAAGTGTACATAAATCCAACCCGAAGGTTAGTCAACTAAATCCCAAGGACTTTAAACAAAAACACCAGAGAATTTTTAGAATTTTAGCACTCAGGTCAATCAGCAATCAACAAACATATCGAAATCGATCGAATCTATGAACCAATCGGTAAAATCATGAACAAATATAGGACCAAGAATCAAACCAAAGGGGGATACAATCAAAATAAAGAGGTAGACAATGACAGGTTAAAGGTAAATCAATCAAGATTGAGGTCGATAGGACAAGCTGTGAATCATCTGTGGAGAAATTCGAACACTTCACTTGTACCTGAGGTCTGTGCTGATGATGTTGTTCAAAAGAACGATGAAAGTTCGACGGCCAAGCCACCCAGCTCAGAGAAAAAAACTCCACCTAAAGGATTCAATGATTTGGTTTATTGTAACTCGTTTTTTCTCTCACCATCATGTCCAGTTAAAAATAAATTTCCTGCGCAACCACGACCTCACCACCAGGGACCTTCAGTTTCGTATCTCACTAGAAGTTTTAAAAATCTCCACAACCCCATACTGATAATTATCATATACTCACTAACGAGTAGTTTCGATAAAAGAACCTCCAGAGTTTTGTGAGAAGCTGTGATCAACGTAGTTCAGTAGTGTCCGCCGTGAGGAAAGTATTCACCAAAGACAATTGGAGGCCTGTGAGTAATACCACGGGTTGATTGGAGTTTCACTCGCACACGATTAAATTCCTGCTCAATGGTCCGAAGGTTAGGCATTCGGGGGTAAGACTGAAGGTCCCTGATGGTGAGGTCGTTGGTGCGCAGTGTTGAGGAGTTTCATGCTAGGACGAACAGACGTTATACTTCCAGATTCTCAGTGGTTGTCTAACTTAGATCAGTTCGTGATCTCAATAATATCACAAGCATTTTTTTGCTTCCTATTAAAAGTAAGACAAATAGTTTTATAATTTAAACTATTTTCTATATTAACAGGTTGAATTTATCAGACGTGATATTAATTTTGTTCGTGCTAATGCTCATATGGCTACAGCGCCTAGTGTAAAAGGAACTGGAATTCGACGGATAGCAAGTATGAATTCTTTATCATCGAATAACAAAACTCATCTAACGGATTCAAATATATCAAAATCACAAATATCGCACACATCAAGAATGTGGCCTGAAAGACGATTAAAAAGTGGGGATATCCCACCTTAGTAAGCTTTATTAATCTACCAATGTTACATCATATATAAAGATATTACACAATTAATGTAAAGAAAATTCTATGAGGATTGCTAACATGTTAAGAAAGTTATCCGACTTCATTAAATATAATTCGGCTTAGTAATACCATTATGTGATAGAAATCAACAGACTTGTATTGTGTATACGTATGAATGAATTATGAGAATAGTGAGTGAGTTAGTTAATTGAGCTTTCAGTCTCCCATAATTGAAAAATTGTATAATATCTAATATGACAACTTGCACAGTTTTTCACCAATGGGAGATCCAAATGGTTATGAATGGACTTGTTTATTCTAGATTGGTTCATCCTCTACAATTACACTGTTATGTGACATTGCTATTGTAGATAGACGACTAAAGGGAATTCCAGTTATTCAATTGTTTTTTAAAACATGTCTTGTCCATAACAGGACAACTTGGTGAGCTAAAGTAAAGAAGACACTTAGTAAAATGTGGAGTCGGTACACATCAGGTTGACTTGGCTACGTAATACGTTTCTCAGTTACTGTTTTTTTCTGATATTTCATATTTTTTGAAATTGGTAAGGTACTTAGAACAAGACAATATCAGAAATAACAAAATGTCTGTTTAAGGCTTTCAAAAATATATGAATATTTCATTTTAATTTCGTAGTGAATACATATGCCGTTCTATTGTATGTAACCCAAGGGTCTTCAAGTTTCGTGGGGAACACTACTGTTCATTCAATGTAGTGTAAAGATATTGTTCAGATCTCTCAAACTCACTAGTTATTCAATGTCATCATTGGTACCCGGCTCCCCGCCGATCCAGTTATTTCTATCAGTCAAAAATTCATAACGTCACACTATGATTTACAAATCTAATATTCAAATTAAACAACTATGCAAACACCTTATTAAAACATTGAAGTAGTTAAATGTTGAGTTATTTATGCATGATAAAAAAGTAGAAGTCCAATAAAGCTGTTTTATGTATGAAATGATTGTCTACAAGAAATGTTCATGAATATATGATCATTTTTCTCTAGTTTAATCAAAATGAAACAAAAGGAAAAAGAACGGATTCAAAAAGAATTGGAAAACCGGCCTGATCCAGATCAACCTCCAGGACATCAGCGAATGCCAGAACAAGAACGTCTAAAAACATTAGAATTGCTTAACAAAGGTATTAATTCATAAATGTGATTTTCATCCAAATATAAATGAAATCAAATCTCTTATTCAAAATAATATGTAAACACTATATGATATGTGGCACTTACTGCAGTTACCCCTTGAGGAAAAACATAGATCGCCCACCAGGACTATCCATCGAACTCTGTCCTGTACGATCCTTTCCAGTGGCTATTCATCCTTTTCATGTCTGCTTCCAATTTTCGACGCAGTGTGTTCCTTATTCTTCCTATTCCCTTCAGGATTCAAAGTTGGCGCTTGCCTCGTGATGCAGTATGATGTTTTTTTCAATGTATATCTTATCCATTTTCAACGTCCTTTACTACTTTCCTCTTCATCCGGAAGCTGGTTTGTTCTCCACCACAGTAGGCTGTTGCTTGCTGATAATGTCCGGCTAACGGATCTGGAGTATCTTGGGTAGATGGTTGTTTATAAACACCTGTACGTTTTGATGATGGTTGTAGTAGTTCTCCAAGTTTCGGCTCTATACAATAGAAGTGTCTTGATGTTCGTATTGAAGATTCTGACTTTGAAACTGGTTGACATACAGTTTTTTTGAGCTCCATATCTTCTTCAAATGTACAATGCTGTCCTATTGTTGCCAATCACTGCCTTCACATTTGCATCAGATCTTCCTTGTTCATTGATGATACTAACCAGCCACATGAAAGTTTCCACATCTTCCAGAGTTCCGCCACCCAGTGTGATTAGGTTGGTGTTTCTCCCCATGTTGTTTTTGAGGATGTCGCCTCTTCCCTTGTGTATGTTGAGGCCTACTGCTACAGATGCTGGTGCTACACTGGTTGTCTTCACCTGCAATTATTGGTGTGTATGGGATAGAAGAGATAGGTTATCTGAGATGTCCGAATCGTCTAGCTGCATCCAAACTATCTACCGTATTTTGTGCTTCCTCTCACATGTGAGGGTCTTCATAATCCAGTCAACCACCAGAATAAAGAGAAAGCGGGAGAGTGAGCAACCTTGCCTGTCATTGGTCCTCACTTGGAATGCATCTGTAAGATGTCTTCCATGTACGACTTCGCAGTGTAGTTCATCATACGAATTCCGAATGATGTTGACGATTTCTCCAGGTACACCATAGATTCGAAATAGGTTCCATAATGTTCTAGCCACACCGTCAGATGCTTTCTCATAATAAATAAAGTTCGTGTATAGTGACGAATTCCATTCAATGGATTGTTCAACGTTGATCCGTAATATCTCAATTGGTCTGTGCACGACCTGTCCTTACGGAATCTGACTTGTTTAACTCGAAGCTGAGTGTCTACTGAATCTTTCATCTAGTTCAGCAACACTGTTGGAAACGTTTCTTGTTACGGATGGTAGTGTAATGCTTTTATAATTCTCACACTTACTGAGATCTCCTTTCTTAGGTATCTTGATGATCTATCCTTCTTTCCATTCTGTCGGCATTTGTTCTTCCTCCTAAATCTTCCAGAATAGAATGTGAAGTATTTTTTCAGTTACTTTCATGCCTGACTTCAGCTGGTATGTTATCAGGTCCTACTGCTTTCCCACTGTTGATCTGTCTGATGGCCATCCTGATTTCTTCTATCGTTGATGAAATGACAGCCATAGGGAGGTGCGTGTGTGCTGCTTCAATATCTGGTGGGTTCAGTAGTACTGGTTTATTCACGAGTTCTTTAGAGTGCTCTACCCAGATGTTCCACCGTTCGTCAGTCTCAGTGGTTGGGACCGGCAGTTACCCTAGGAAAGCTACGGGCGGAGTTATGTGGCAGTGACACTAAAATAAAATTAGTTACTCAGCGTGAACATACAGGGACATAGCCTACTGACTATTAAATATGTAATTACCTTTTCTCCTCTTGATTTCCATTTAGGATTCACCGAGTTTAACTGCATGTAACTGTATTGACTAAAGTATTATCTAGTTATAATTTAGTCCTCTCTTCTTGGGTTTTGAATCCTGGATCTGATCAGTTTCATTATCGTCGTGTACTTGAGGGAACAGAGGTTTCAAACCCTCCGTTATGTCAGTTTGCAAATTATGTTGAACGAAATGCCAAGGGAAAAGATATTTACTTTCCTTTAATTCTCATATTTCTCAGTAGTGCTTAATGGTGCATATTTTTTCTAAAACTAACACTGGTAGGGTTTTGTTAATGCGTTTTTTAAGATGATTTTTATGATTTTATTTTGCCGTTCTGGACATCACATCAGTGCCTACTTCACGTAGAAGTGGTGGTAAGTTTCGCTGATCTGAATGTTTAATAAATTTTAAACAGGATATTTCAAGAGATTTGTGATGAAGTCCTCTTGAAATAGTGAAATTCAACAAAATAATTTTAATTATCACATAAAGTGTAGTTGGAACTGGACTTCTGTAAAATTAAGGTTTCTGAGATTTATTTTCACGGTTCAGAACATTATCAAGGTTGTTGCAATGGCTAAAATGGATCTCTTTCGACAAACAAAAGCCCTCTTCCACATTTATCGATCTTAATTCCCTAAAGTGTGAGGAATAGCCAGTCATGTTGTTATTTCAAAATGGCTAGTTAATGATCAGATGAAAATTGACTTTTGTTCAGGCACTTAATAATGATATCAATAATTAGGAATTCAATTATTTACGATACATTAATTATATTTTCATTTTCACTACAGCTCATACTCAGTTATCGGAAGAATTTTCACACCTCCCAGTACGTATGGATACATTAAGGATTCGTTCTAGACGTGCAGAAATTGAAAGTCGTCTCAGTGAACTAGAACAAGCTATTGAAATATTCAGTAAACCAAAAGTATTTATTAAACCTGATTGAATTCAAAGACGACTTAAAATAACATGGTCATGAATGTATAAAATATTTGTCAAAAACAATTTCTACTATAATCAGCTATATTTCACATCATATAATGGTTAAATATCACTTTTGAATCATGGTTTATTTGGATAAATAGTTTTACAGACTACTTCCTTTAGTATATTAGTAGTTTACTATGTCATTGTAAAATGTGTGATATATACATATTTTCTGTGTATGAATGTTTATTCACTCAATCAATTCAACGAAATGAATGGCATCAGTTCATTCGAAATTTATTGTCTTGATGAAAGAAAATTGACAAACTAAATATAAAGGATTGAATTAACAAAGTTTTTATACGCTTTACTCAGGGGATGTTTTATTTTAAAACGGTCATTCTAACTACTACGCGTTCATAAGGTCAGTCAATCTGGAGATGCATTCCAGTCTGATGTCAGATATATTCTGTCCTATGATGGAAAGTAGAACAATTACAACTAAAAAAAACTTATAAATCAAATGCACTTAATATTACTTGTTTGAATCTTCCCATTGATGTTTAGGACTGCAACTGGTCAGTCTCTAATTGGCATATGTGCATACTGTACGTATTACCTCGATATAGCCTTGATTCACAAGCATTGTAAGCAAAGATGGATAGTGACTAGAAGTGGAATCCAGGACGCGCGTTTCGTCCTATTTGGGACTCATCAGCTGGATGTACCTGCATCTCAGAGTTGATGTTCACTCTGGGACTCGAACACAGTACCTTTCGCTTCAGACGCCATCGCGTTATCCACTCGGCTACTGAGTCCTGATAGCCACTTGCTTGTGCAATGGAATGAAGTCTAAATTCACTTAGTATTACTTGTTTGAGAAACTGATCAGTTGCAGTCCTATACATCATTGGGAAGATTCAAACTTCACCCCATTGCACAAGCAAGTGGCTATCAGGACTCAATAGCTGAGTGGATAACGCGATGGCGTTTGAAGCGAAAGGTACTGGGTTCGAGTACCAGAGTGAACATCAACTCTGAAATGCAGGTATATCCAGCTGACGAGTCTCAAATAGAACGGGAAGCGCATTTTGGATCCCACTGCTAGCCGCTATCCATCTTTGCTTATAAATGAAGGTCAATTTTTAAGTTATTGAGGTAGTATGCAACCAGAAGTATTAATAAATTACTAGATTTGGTCCAACATTTGTTCTATACGATTAAGCAATTTAATCAACTAGTGTTTAAATTAATTTAATTTATACACTGCTATTGATTATTTGTTTCATGAACAGGCTTTACAGATCATTGAATTGAAGGTAATGGAGGAGTGTCCACATGTATACTGTTGATTTGACTGCTGGAGATATCCTCGGTCTGCAGATTTGAATTTCATACGAAAAGAGAACTTAGATACATCAAATTACAATAAAATTCAACACCATATTTATATGCTGAGGTATTGTTGAGGGGTGTATGAAATGTTACCGTAGATTACATAGTCAATAAATGAATTGTTCGTTATGTTAATGATGGCATAAGTTTAATGGTCACATTCACTAAGTCTGGATAATTTGGTTGTTGGCTATACTATACTATTGACTCGTGTTTCATATGGTAGAAAATGCTGTTTTAACATTTGGAAGCATTTTCAAAGTTGAACAAAAAACGTCTAGTAGATTAGGCAAGTCAGTTAGTGGGATAATCAAACTAAATGAGTTGAGATACAAGACTATCGTTTTCCCTTTCTATTCTTTGAACATTAAATATCGCGTTAGAAGGGTATGGTGTTATGAATTTAAAATATAAAGAATAAGGCCGTATGCGAATTCGCTGTGGTCTTATGTTCGGCTTTTTATCACGTGATTTATCCACCAATCGGAATACGAATTTTCCGATCTTAGCATCGTGCTAAACTAATGACTTCGACCGTTATGAGCAGCCTAGCGTCCTTATTGGTCCTTTATCCGCCTAGCCCTTCAAGTTGAGTCCAGAACATCAATAACAGCTTCTGTTATGTGAATCATTTATTTTAAGTATAGTTGGTTTATATATCAGACAGACAGACCTCGTCGCACCATAAAATACAAAATAATATTTGTACAAGACCAAGCCAAATGTGGCTGTGAACGTGAGAGACAGTAATCAATAAAGTGAGTATAATTTAGGATCAGTAAGCCGTATAATAATAATTCATAGGTCAAAATAAAGCTTATAATAAAATGAATATAGATATACACAATCTAGTTACTCAATAGTTAAACCATACGTATATATATATAGAATAATATTCCATTAATAGGTCCTGGACGTTACCTGTACTTATGTCTTCACTAGGATATAACACAGGGGAAGCAACATAATGGTTTGGCTGTTACGACACCACAATTTATAGGTTACGCTCTTTGCAAATTTTATACAACTCTACAAGGTTGTGATCTTTGTGAAAGAAATTTTTTACAGTTGAGGACTTGGAAAATGATGTGTCCAGCCAAAGTGAGCTGTGAATGGATAGATATATTCGGAGACATTACGCATGAGATTAGTTTAAGTTGTAAACTCATCCCACCTCTGATTGATCTGTATCTTTTGTGTGTTAATATACTCTTATTGTTGTGGTATTCGGTTTTAAATCATACGGCGGGACCGTGTCCGTGTGTATTGTGTAATTTATTAACACATGCGTTACAGTATTATTCAAGATAAATTCATCGACTATTTTACGTGAAATACTAAATATTCTCCTACTTTCTGCAGTTTGTCCCTCAGTTTAATTTTGTATTAATTTCTGATCAATTACAACCTACTAACACATATCATTCTTCTGAACGATGAAAGCTCCACGAATAAACCATCCAGCCTCAGAGAACAAAACTCCATCAAAATCTGTAGTGATCTTTCATTCCCAAATGTTAAACTATTTTGAAAGAAAGAACATTACTAAATAAATTATTATTTATTCATTGTTCACTTCAATTACAATTTTACCACGTTTCCCTTTAGTATACAATCTATTGAATGCATCTGGTACATGACTAAAATTATAAACAGTATCAACAGGAATTACTAACTGTTGACTTGAAACTAAATTCAAAAGATAATCTAATACTTTACTATTCGGTTTAAAAAATACCCAACGTATTTTCTTCCAATTAGGAGTAAAAATATTACCATTAACATTATTCGAAGAGAGTACAGCTGCAATATTACTATACAGGAAGTGTGAACAAGCTATTCCACTACCAACAAACGGTCCATAATGATCATTTAAATATAACAAAGGTGGATTAAGCATGATATAACGTGCACGACTTGATGATGTATTTAAATAAGATAGCATAGACGGAAGTTGAGGTAATAGACAACCAGATAAATTGCATTGTTTTAGGGGCGTATTAGATGATGTAGAGGATGAAGTTGTTGTATTGAAATAATCCGGTCGAATACAATCAAGAATTAAATCATATTTGGTTGTAGTTTGAATATTCGTTGGATGTGGAAATATCTAAAATATGAAAGGTGAAAAACAGGGATAGTGATAATAATAAGAGTAGTTTTATTCAATCCAATTTAATGGATATAATAAACAATATATAAGAAGGATTATCATTTACATTATAATCTTGTATAGAATAATCAAACATGTTGAATTGACCATTATCTGTAAATCTATATCAGTGAACTTTTGTTATATTTAGATTTCTACATGTAAATATCTTTAATAAGTAAATATACATTACGATAGGGTAATAAAAAGATGAAGATTATCAGAATTATGTGATGATACATCCGCGCAATACATTTCGAACAATCTGATCACATATATATGTGTTAAGAACATTTATGTATAAAAATAAAAGGGTCAACTAGACTGGAAATGGGGGGTAAGAATAGACAAGGATAAAAATAATAATAATAATTTGAAAACGATTTGAAACCTAATCACTCTGGATAATAAGCTTATATTAACAGGGTAGGTTTAAAGTGAGAACAAACTATTTTTGAATAGTTGAAAGCGTGAGTCCATTTAAGTTAGACCACCAGGGAAAACCTGGAAGTACTGGACAGCCGTTTCGTCCTATTGTGGGACTCCTCAACAGTGCGCATCCACGATCCCGACTCACTGAGCCCCCAAATGCCCTGGTACGGCCGAGAGTGGGGAGAGTCACCTCTCCCTCTCGAAATACTCTCATATGGCCACGCGAATATATAGCCTCTGCCAGGGAAGTCCTACTCACTGCCTTCTCGTGGCGGGGGTGTTGTGTACGAAAGTGAGAGGACGAAAAGCGAATGTCCGACGCTTTAACCGGGTTGGTGGACACGGAGGCTCCACCTAGGGGAGTTAGAAAACCCTGATTCCAAACCAATGGTGCACATGGGCTCCAGTATCCTGATGGAACGAATGACGGACGAACCTGTCATTGGTCAACGGCTACCATGGGACTGCATCTCCTCACGATGCTCCACTGCCTTGTGGATCAGACATTCAGGTCAAAGGCTCAGGGTGTGGTCCCCTAAGAAAACCACCTGCTTCGGTTTGGGCACCTGGGCAGTATCACAGCCCTCACACAAATCGAATGAGATTTGTGAGGCGCATATTTATCTGGTGCTTCATTGTACCAATCTATATGTGTTTAAATAAATAAATAAATAATCCCAACTCACGAGATTCGAACCCAGGACCTACCAGTCTCGCGCCAGAGCACTGAACCGGCATCCGATGGTGTTTATGTCTATACATTAAGGGAATTTGTTGTTAAACAACAAACCACTAAAGATTGATAAATATCTATCTGTAACCATTATTGCTGGTCAAAAAGAACAAATTACAAGTTCATTTCATAGAACTTTAAATTATACGACGTTTATTGTTATTATCCAGAAAAGATCTGAAATTATTTTATGTGATAACAAGCGACAACCTCAGGAATCAAGTCATATAATATGGATTGAAATTTATAAGCAAATTACTCAATAATCAAATATAGTAATTCAACATGTGGATCAACATATTATTGATGCATATCTTTCATAAAATTTTTTTATCTACAATTAATAGATTTCATTTGTTCTAATAGTAAACATTAATAGTGAAAGTTAATCAATGATTATCTAACTTTGAATAGCAACCTATACGTTATAATTGATCACTTCACACTGATATAATTGAATGTTAATCATTTCTTGGCTTTTATTCATGTACACTCCGAGTGTAAGGGCTAACTATACTACTCGGTTTCCCAAACCAACTTAGATATACTGAGGTTTGAACCTGTGATGTAGTCGAATGTGTTAACTACTTAATCATTGCTCAATAATTTTAATAAGTACTTAATATAAACCTAATATCGGTTGAACTTATTATAATATTTCATTTATTTGAACACATAAACATTGGTACAACGGGGCGCCAAATACATATACGCCACACAACAACGATGATCAAACAGAGTCGTCTAACATCCTCAACTCAGAGAGGCTAGGTCTCACAAGCAAACAAACAGTTCTCCCCGACGCGGTGTAGGACCGACCTTTTACAGTCAAACTAACATCACGAAGGCGCCAAAGATGGCCCACATTGGCCAAAGCCTCTCTGGCTTTCATTGTACGTGAATTGATCTCATCACTCACGCCACCACCAGCACTTATGTAGCCACCCAGATACACAAACTTCTCGACTACTTCTATCTGCTCACTAACCAGAGTGAGTACAAGATCATGGTCCTGACAGTCTTGTAAAAGTACTTTGGACTTGGAAAGTGCAAAGCATATACCATACCGTATGACATCAATTGACAACTGATTAAGTGCGGATTACATGGCTTGGGTAGCATCATACAGTAAGACAATATCATCCGCATACTCAAAATTGGAAAGTCTTTCTCCAGGCAATAGATCCTCATCACCATTACCTACATTTATCAGAGCTGTTTCCAGAACGTCATCGATAGCAAAGTTGAAGAAGAATGGTTAGATTTGACAACCCTGACTAACACCACTACTTGAATGAACCAGCGGAGAGAAGTGGTTGTATGCTTAGGGCTTTCAACATGTTAAGAAAATTCTCAGACACACCCATCTTCCATAGACAATCTCAGAGAAAATTCCTGCACAACGAATCGAAGGCGGCTCTAATGTTAAGAAACACTACGGTTGCTAGCCTGTGATAAATATGGTCAGTACATCCTCGGCCAGAACGAAAACCAACCTACTCCTTGCCAGTCAACCTTTCTCGGCTTTTGAACAATCTACGAAGTATGACGGAAGCCAATAGTTTGGACGCAATCGGAAGCAGACTTATCTCACGATAGTTGTTGCAGAAACGGCTTGAATCCTTTTTAAAGATAGGAACAACTATCGACTCGTTTCACGATATTGAAGCACACTCTAATCCCCATATCTTTGTAAACAACTCAGTCAGTTCTTTGACCATGAGTCACCACCATCCTTAAAAATGACCGGAGGTAAGTCATCTAGGTCTGTTGATTTATAGCACTTCAGCAGTTGTAGTTCCGTAAGGACTTCCGCCTTGTTATATGGGTCAGTTGTCACAGGTCATGGAGAGTAGGACAGTCTGATCGATGTTTTAGGGGCAGCAGATCAGTTGAACTGCTCCTCAAAAACCTCTGCCCATCGTTCAAGTGGTCATCTTCACAGATTGTTTCACTCACGCTAGACTTCTTGCTGCCAGTAAACCGGGTGATCTGAAAGATCTACCGGAAGTTACCGGATGCAGCTGCTGCTTCCAACCCATTGGCACGCACCGACCATCAGGATTCTCGATCCTTACGCAAGCTTTGCTCAACTTCATTACGTAATAGTCTTTGTTTGTGGTCAAACTCGCGGCACACAATCACGCCAGCGGTGGCCGATCGCGATGTGTTCAATCTGAGTCCAGGCTTGAGATGCAAATAGAGGACGCCAGATAGCACATCGGCGGTGACTGTGCCGGTAGTTAGTGCTAGCCAGAAACAGGATGCGGTTTGCGCAGTTATAGTAGATGGTCACCGTTATCTGACCTACAACCAACACGTCTCCATCGGCCACCTAAACGACTCTCTTCTGTGCCTCGACGCCCGACCTCAACATTCAGGTTTCCAGCTAATATCACAATATATGTTGAACGCACTCTCAGTAGAAGGACAGTTACCTGGTTGTAAACTCATCGTTGATTGCATTCAGGCTGCAATCTGTAGGTGCGTAGGCGGAGATGACGAAAAGACGTTTCTCACACCGATTTCTTCTCACTTTGATGGAACTTTGTAATCTAACAGCTCTCGATTTCGTAAACAACTACCCCGCCGAGAGAAGGCAGTGAGTAGTACTTTCCTGTCAGTGGCTGCATACGCATGGTTATTTGAGAGAATTTCGAGAGGGAAAGTAGACTCTATCCACCCTCGACCGTACCAGGGCATTCGAAAATCTGACATCAACTACACAAGTGTAGTGTTAACGTTTGAGAAATGTGATTACTGACACGAAAAAACACAATGCTTACAACCAAACTACGGAACCAGTAGTATGTTATGCTTCATGCTAATTATTATGAATCTGGTCGAGCTTATCAGTGAAGTATTCAATGAAACAGTTTAGATAGTCATATTGTTATCAATAGTCAAATCTGGTGGGTTAGATTGAAGGAATTATTATACTTGAAACTACATTTAAATTGCAAGAAACGGCTATCTTGTGTTCAATTTTCGTCTGGTCCATTTAACAAAATCTGAAGGTTGTTGTGAGCGGTGTTTAACCATAAGTTATATTGATTACTAATATATCAGACTCAAAATTCAACTATTTAGAACATGAAAAAAAACACAAATTATTTACTACTTACTTCATCAACTTGTAGAAGATTCATTAAATCTAATGCCTTTTTATCACTTGGACATGTGACATGAACTCTCCAACCCCAAAGTTTAGCCAATTGTGCTGCGATCATGCCAACACCGCCAGTGGCGCCAGTTATAAGAATTGAATAAGCTGATAATGATGACTTAATAACAGGATTGATTCCACCAGCATCAACTAAAGCTGACCATGCAGTTAAACCAGCATATCCTAATGCAGCTGCAGATATGAAAGAAACATTACTAGGTAATGGAGCGACATAATCGGCTGGACAGACAATATATTCAGCTAATGAACCAGATCCAGTAGAACTGAGAAAAGGCCATGTAGCACCGGCCACATTTGTACCAATAATAAGTTTACTTCCCTTCGTTAGGTTGGATAAAGCAACTTCTGAACCGATGTCAACTATTTGACCAGAAAAATCACGACCAGGTGTAAAAGGAAAGTCTGCATTTTCTGCTGTCGTGGCATCAGGTAGGCCAAAGCAACCATATTTTGATGTAAAACGACGCAATGAATGAAAGCTAGAAGAACCATAACCATAGACAAGCAAAGAATCGACCGGATTTAACGATGCCGCTTTAACCTTAATAAGTAGTTGGTCTGGACGAGTTATGTTTGGCATACGTCTAGTCTTTGTGAAGTGTAATTCAGATGTGATGTCTACTGCACCAGGTGGTAAAAAGCTCATCAGCTGCCATGCTGAAATAGTTTTTGGAAGTTTTGGCTTCATATTATACTATGTATTTCCTGAAATATGAGAAAGAAAGAAATGATTTATTTTAGGGACCAGTCTGATGAAGTTTATAAAAGGAAACCTAAGCTAAGATATTAATGTCGAATATTTTTACTGACTGTCAATCAAAGTGATGAGTTAGAATTGATACACTGTGAAGTCATCGAATTCAAAATATTTTATGGTTTTATATATCCGTTCAGATAATCTAGACAAAAATAACTCCGTTGAACAATTCGATCGTTGGAACACGACCGAAAGGAAGTGAAGTACTGATATGATTTTTAGATCAATTTGTAAGTGAAAGTAAATGACTGATGATTTACTACTTATACTCCTCGGTACACTCTGTCGCATAAAATCATACTCCATCTATGTTTTCGAATGAAAACTATTTTGAAAATTCACGGTAGGAAAGGTGACAATCCACTTTATTAACACTTATAATCTTTAACTGTACGAATCCAATGATCATTCGACGGATTTCCAAGTATGATTTCGAAAAAAAATCATAATAATTGTAGGACAACTGAGAGTAACAATAGTTGATTCGCTACTTGCAAGTCAATATTTAATGAGAATTCAGTGATAACTCATGGTCAAATGGTATAAATAATGGTTCCCGAATAGCGTCAAAATATTTGTCACTAAATTTTAAAGGAACCTTGGAAATGGAAACATTTATCCATTATTATCTAAACTCCAATCTGATTGTTAAACTGAAATAATATTCAAATCAGTTAGAATGATTATGATAGTCAATATAAATTCCATCATTTGAATTATATAATGGTGATAGGAAAATCCAGACAACAGTACATTTTTACATTGAAATAACTCGTGTATGCACACTGCTGTTATGTGCGTTGATGCGGCTTCCGCTTATATGAAGTCACAGATAATAAACTTCATTTCAACGTTTAGATGGACATGGTCTGCTTGAACGTTATATGAGCAACTGAACTTTAAATTTCGGATGAAACTTGGGGAAGCTATTTGGAAATTCATAAACTGTAACCGGCTATTAATTTCAAAAACACATTGAAGAAAAGTTCTTTTTAGACAACGCAAGCGTTTCAGTGATGGCTGTGAAGACTGAAAAGATATTTCGAAGCCAAAACTACTGTAAACCTCATGTATTAGTGAGAACACCAAATGTGTGAGATCCCTTGTGCTTTGAAATCCCTAAGTGACCTGCCCGGTGACTGTCGACGAATTAAATTCGGTCAAATCGTGTCCTGACATGATACTAGCAACATATGAAACGATGAGGCATTTGAAGAACTTGGTATATGAAGATGCTTGAAACAATAGAAACGGATATATGACAAGTGTATTGTCGGGAAAAGTATTTTAAAAGGGTATACGATTTATTTACCCTGAAATTTTCATGATATCAGTTTAGTTGTTTTTGGAATCACAGTTAGGAAACAAGCCACTAAACTAAAAGAATAATACAATTTCTAGCTGAACTAGTTAAGAGGTGATCTTCAGAAACGAAATGGAATTATCAAATGACAAATAACTCAGTAGATTATAGATTCTTAAACAAAAATGATTGCTCAAATTAAAACATTGATTGAGGGTGAATAAGTGTTATTGTCTGACACCTTTATCTTCATCTTGTCAGTTGAAAATTAGAACTATGTTGGTATCCACCAAAGAACAATTACGAATGTATTCAGTCGATATACTGAACTTTGAAACCCGTTGTCTCAACTAATTGCCTAAGCGGTTATACGTGAAATCGTTCCAAGTAGTATATTCCTTGCCTGAATAATTTAAGTAGGAGTCGATTTAGTTTACAGTCAGGCTGTCGGCACATTTGTTTACCAACATGAACGACCAAGACTTTTATTAATGAATCAAAACATTTAAGAAGATAATGCCGATTTGCTATTTTCACAGTGGTAAGAAACGAAAGTAGTCGCAAAGTATCATATTTTAGATTCTTTAACAGAACCTACCTCACCAGTTACATAATTTCACTCTGCAGGTTTTCTGCAAGAAAATCAATTCGGACATTTAACTCTGCCCTGGGAATTTAAGGGGCTTCACATAGACGAGTTTGGCGCCTCATGGTGAGACTCGAGATTCTCCGAAAGTCATTCGATAGATGCCCCCTTCTGACAACTAGAACAGTAACTAACACAAATACATGGGATGTTCGCACAATGTAGGAGACTGGGAGTTATTCAGTTAGCTGAGAGAATGAGAACATACAACCTGGGCAGTGCTTGAATTAAATGAAACTCATAGGACGCAAGTACGACATATAACATTAGTCTCGAGAGAGGTGCTACTGTATTCTGGTCATGAAGAGTAAAATGTCTGGCATGCAAAAGGAGTAGCAATGATGCTATCCAGAGATGTGTAGCAAGCATTTATAAGGTGGGATTCTCATAGACCTAGGGCCATAAAAACATTCTTGAAAACAAAGAAAACGTGGATTGCAATGTCACCCAGCACCATGAGCCCAGCTATGATATCAGTGGGAACGATGGAGATTAGTTTTAGAATAGGTTGTAGTCGCTTGTAGAGAAATACCGAGGAAAGGGCCGAACCTTCCTGATGGAAAAATTAAACGCCAAGGTGAAAATGGACAATATCGCGTATAACATCATGGGATAACAGGGACAAGGAGAAAGGAACGAGAACTGTGAGGGATTTATAAATCTGTGGGCTTATGAAAAAATGGTTATACGTGTCACCATTGTCGTAAGAACGAAGAGAGGAGCTGATATAGCTCCTGATAATTGCAAATATAAAATTAAGGCCAAAGAAACACGGGAAAAACAGCATCACAAAAGTTTAATACAGCCTTCATTCGAGATACTGACATATAAACTAAAAGGATTCAACATAACTTCTAATAAGTTCCACTAAAAGAGAAAACTACTATGGAAATGGATTATATGCAGTAACATGAACATACCAAGAGGTGCTGGTCCGCAAGAAGCACTGTCATAAAGAGCGGATTTCTGTTGATACCCTAAGCACGATTCAACAAAGCAAGGACAGGAAGACACCAGTCAACAACAGCAGAGAGGGTCAAGGCACAGGCTAAATACAGAGGCAAACAAGCGAGTGAAAGGCAGCATTAGGACTAATAAACGGAATTATGTGGAAGATGCCCCCAAATGCTCTGGTACGGCCGAGAGGGAGGAGAGTCCGCTCTCCCTCTCGAAATGATCTGATATGACCGCGCGTATATAGCCTCTGCCAGGGAAATCCTACTCACTGCCTTCTCTCAGCGGGGTAGTTGTTTACGAAATCAAGAGCATGAAAAGCGAATGTCCGGCGCGTTAACCGGGTTGGTGGACATGGAAAGTCCATCTAGGAGAGTTGGAAAACCCTGATTCCAAACCAATGGTATACATAGGATTCAGTATCCTGAGAGAAAAATGGCATATGAATCAATTGTTGATCACCAGCTACCATAGGACTGTATCTCCTGACGTTGCTCTACTGCCTTGTGGATCAGACCTATAGGTCGAAGGCTCCGGGTGTGGGCCCCAAATAAAACCACCTGCTTCGGTTTGGGCACCTGGGCTGTATCACAGCACTCACACAAATCAAATGAGATTTGTACGGCGCATATATATCTGGTGCCACTTTGAACCAATATTTATGTGTTTAAATAAATAAATGGGTATAATAATGTGGAAGATTTAGTAACGACAGAGAGGAGAGTTGCAAGAGAAGGGAAATATAAGACAACTCTATGACACTACGAAGAAACTGACAGGAATATCTAGTAAACCAGATCTAACAGCCAAGAACAAACAAGACAAGCCAAGCACTCTATAGAACTCTTGAATAAACCATTCCCACTGAACCCACCAGACATCGAAGCAGTACACACGCATTTCCCTATGGCTGTCACTCCATCAACGATAGAAAAAATCAGAATAGCCATCAGTTAGATGAACAGTGGGAAAGCGGCAAGACCTGACAACATACCAGCTGAAGTCAGGCATGGAAGTAACTGCAAGCATTCTTTATCTTCTATTCTGGAAGATTTGGGAGGAAGAACAAATGCCGACAGAATGGAAAGAAGGATACCTCATCAAGATACCAGTCAGTCGGCGACAACGTAGGACCAGGCACATATATGCAACGGTCCAAGTTGCCATACCTCGTTAGCACAACAAGATGAACACCGGATTCATAGAAGTAATTAATTTAGTGGTGGTAGTATATAGAGAAAGGTAGTATAGAAGGATATAGTATAGGAAGGAAAAAAGTTATGAAGCAATTTTTATCTCAAGGTTTAAGGGAAGATAAAGAGTGTATACACCTACGCCATTGTGATCGATTCTGAGCCATGTCACACAGAGTCTCCAACCATTGGTTACGATAGTCACGCGGACCCCAACCAGGTAGTCTGCACCTACCAACATGGCTCAGACTAGAAGTTAGTGACTTCAAGCACTGATGCCATGTTTTGGTTTGGCCGCCCCTAACTCTCTTCCAACCATCCCCTACACTAGTCAGCATAGCACATCGTGGTAATCGGTGTTCAGGCATACGTAACACATGGCCCAACCATCTCAGTCGATGGAGATACATCACCTCATCAACTGATTTACCATCGTTCCCTAATACCCTGCGTCTAACCTCACTATTACTTATCCGGTTATCCCAGCAGATGCGAGCAATATTTCTAAGGCATCTGTGGTCAAATACTAGTAACTTACGAGTATCTTCTACTCTTAATGGCCATGTTTCGCAGCCGTAAAGTAGAACAGAACGAACTGCTGCGCAGTATACTCGTCCCTTAATTGATAGACGGGTATCTCGTCTTCGCCATAGGTGACGTAAGTTGGCAAAAGCCAAACTAGCTTTTTGAATCCGTGCTGAGATTTCGTCAGACACCAACCCTTTAGGGCTGATCAGACTTCCAAGATAAGTGAAGTTGTCCACGCGTTCGACTACTTCACTCCCTGTCCTTAGTTCAGGTGTTGGCGCAGGCCAGTCCTGGAGTAACAATTTACATTTGGATGGGGAGAAACGCATTCCAAACATCCTGGCTTTATTACTGAGTTCCAACAGAAGACTGCATTTTGTCAGTGTCTTCACCAAACAGGACTATGTCATCTGCGTATTCTAAGTCGATAAGTAAACCTCCTGGTAGAAGATCAATTCCTGATAATTCAGTCGACGAGAGTGTTATTTCCAGCAACAGGTCTATAATGAAGTTAAACAAAAATGGGGATAGTGGACAGCCTTGTCGGACACCACTTGATGTTGTAAAATCATATGACAGTTCGTCATAAGCTCTCACTCGATTGGTAGTGTTCGAGTAAAGAGCCTTTACAAGGTGTATGTACTTCTCAGGTACACCTTTTAATGACAGACACTGCCGCAGAACCTCTCAGTCTACAGAATCAAATGCTGCTTTTAAGTCAAGAAAAACTATCATTGTCGGACGCCGATAAGCATGTCTGTGCTTTAAAACTTGACGAATGGTGAATGTGTGGTCGATACAGCCACGACCAGGTCTGAAGCCAGTCTGATCTTCTCGTGTTTGCAGTTCACGAGTCTTAGTTAGGCGCCCGATAATTATTGAGGCTAGTATTTTAGATGCTATGTTAGTCAGACTAATTACTCTATGGTTATCACAGGATGATTTTGGCCCCTTCTTATATATTGGGACAATCAGAGATTGTGACCAGTCAGATGGGATTACGTTCGTTTCCCAGATTTTAGCCAGAATATTAGTCAACCTAATAGCTAAAATTGGACCACCATATCTAAAGACCTCTGGAGCCAATCCATCTGGACCAGCTGCTCTTCCTCGTTTCAGATTACTGATAGCCTTTTGAGCTTCAAGTAGGGTCGGGGGCCTACTTCAATGTTCCATTCAGGTTTTCTGGGAATAGTGGATAGTTTTGCAGTAGCTGAAGGCCAGCTAAACTGCTCCTTAAAGTGTTCCACCCATCGTTCTAAACGTTTGGGTTGAGAGTAGATAAGGGTTCCATCTTTTTCCGAGATCGTCTCTTACACTTAACTTCTTAATTCCGGTTTCTTTTATTAGTCTGGATGGATGCCTGGTGTTGCCTACAGCCGCTGCCTTTTTCATCTCTTTTGCTTTCGTTGCCCACCACTGCTCACGATCGTTCCTTAGACTTTTAGTTAACCTAGATCTAATTTGTTTACGCTCTTCGTCGTGTTCAGAGCCTGATGGGATGAGTTTACGCGAATCCATCAGTGAAATAGACTTAGAAGAAATCCACTGATTTTTTGGAGCCCTATGGTTTAAATAACTAATAGATGTTACTGCTGTTTCCACAGCTGTTCTTGTGTCTTTCCAAGCAGCATCTGGGTCAGTCTCGTTTACAGAACTGCCTAGATGTGAACTCAGTTGTTTCTGGAATTCAAATTTGGCTTTCTCGTCCTCCAGTTCAATCCTAATGGGTCTTCTTAGTGTACTTTTCTTGAGTCCATTGAGGCGCAGACAAATGCGCGCTCGTATTAAAGCGTGCTCAGAGTCCAAACAAGTGTTCCAATACGAGCGACAATCTTCTATTGAGCCTCTCCAACGATGACTGATGACAATATGGTCTATTTGAGTCCATCGATGGTTTGGTGCAGGTGGTCGCCATGTTAGACGATGTCTCTCCTTATGCTTAAAATTAGTGCTTGCTAAAAATAAACAATTGTCTGAGCATAGTTGCAACAGACGATCACCATTATCGGTTCGTTGAGCCGGAATACTAAAACACCCACCTAAATGTCTTTCTGTTTGAATTAAGCTGCCTACCTGGGCATTAAAGTCACCCGCTACGACTACTATGTCTGAGCGCCTAGCTTTCTGAAGAAGCTCAGAACGTTTTCTGTAAAAGTCATCTTTTACTTCATCATGACTACAGTCAGTAGGAGCGTAGGCAGAAACGACGAGAAGGCAACGACGTGTGTCGACATCCTTCCGAGTTCTTACAGAGCCATTTAGCCGGACAGCACACAGGCGACTGTTAACGGGGATCCATTCTAATAGTGTCTGTTCTGCCCTTGTACTTAGTGCTATGCCTACACCTGCAAGTCCACGAGAACTAGCCAACGGGTCGCCAGATACACGGAGGGTGTATTTCGTTGGCTGTCCATTTTGGCGAGGTGAGGTCAAGTGAATGACCACACTAGGATCCTGAATGCGTGTTTCGGAGACACAGCATACATCAATGGTACGAGATTCTAGGGTTTTAGCTAAGGAGGCCTGTTGACCGATTTGACTTAAAATACGTACGTTGAAGGCTCCAATGTGTAGTTTGGAGAGAGGTTTTAGTAGACCTGGGACAGTGTTTCGCGCACTAGAATCGTTGGCCATGGTGACACTTGAGGAGGAAACCGAGAGAGGAAGTTTAGTGTTGAAAGTCAAGGTAGAAGGAATAGTAGGAATTGAAGAAGGAGATTGATTATGAATACAGTGGTTTTGAGTGCTGTTTGAGGTATGAGGGCAGTTATCACTTCCCGGTTGCCCACACCGTGGAAGGATTCTTCTAGAGGTACCTGAAAAGGAAATTGGATTAGAAGTGGTCTTAATGACCTGAGAGCGTGACCGCAGTGCCCAAGGGACAACTGCTTGAGGTCGGTCACACACGACCTTTTTGTGGGTAGTTTTTGTGTTAGCTCCGTTCTTCAAAAAAACCTTACCGCCGGAGACGGATATCCGTGGGATAAGGCGAGGTGTGCATTTTTAGGGTCGACCATCTCTAACCCCACCCCTCCTTGTGGGAAGGCAGCATCGTTGTTAAGCTGGTTGTCTGAAGGAAACACCTTACTGCTGTCACACCTCTGTACAGTCAGCAGTACGACTTCACCTTCGGACCTTGAGTTTGCTGCTTTTAGTCTTACCGCTCTTCAAACGACCTGTCTGGCATGGTAGGACCTTGAGGAACGATTGTTCCAGCCAGTATAGCTCGATTGAATCATCACGATAGGCAAGCCCGACCACCACGTCAAGGTAGCAGCAACGGTCGGGTATCATCAAGATGCCAAAAGAAGATAACAGGTGTAAGAACTACATAACTACAAGGAGAGACAGTAGACAAGGCTATTTACTCTGACTCTTTCTCTTCCGTCTGGTTTGTTGACAGGATTATGTTGATCTTCATATCTAAGGAGAAGCATGGGATACAATAGACAGCTTGGATGCAGCTGGACGGTTTGGGTTAGCAAAGCAAGGTCATCATTCCTACAGTTGAACATATGGAACTCAAAACAACTGTCTGTCAACCAGTTTCAAAGTCAGAATCTTCAATACGAACACCAAGATACTTCTATTGTATAGAGCCGAAACTTGGAGAACTACTACAATCATCATCAAAACGTACAGGTGTTTGTAAACAATTGTCTACCCAAAATACTCAAGATCCGTTAGCCGGACACTATCAGCAAGCAACAGCCTACTGTGGCGGAGAACAAACCAGCTACCGGATGAAGAGGAAAGTAGTAAAGGACGTTGAAAATGGATAAGACATACATTGAGGAAATCATCAGACTGCATCACGAGGCAAGCGCCGACTTTGAATCTTCAAGTAAAATAGGAAGAACAAGGAACACAATTCGTCGACAATTGGGAGCAGACATCGAAAGAATCAACAACACTTGGGACTAAATAGGAAGAACGACCTGGGACAGTTAACTGGAGATTCCTAGTCGGTAGACAATGCTCAAAGAGGGATGACAGATGTAAGTTTCCCACTCAAAGTTTAGTATAATAAGTACTGCATACGCACCATGATAATTCAAATAAGTAGAATTTAGTAAAACCATCTAAAAAACATCTTAACAATTATGTGTCATCCTGATAACTCCCCTTTAATCGGGTCTATAATATACAGCTTCAAAGAAAAATTTGCAATTAAACTATTAGCCTCACAGCGATCGCGTCGAATAATCACCTGACAAAGAACAAGTAGTACAATTGCAACGATTGTATCATAACTCGTACATAGTCACTAAGTTTTAGTGTGGAATGATGGCTAAGTTGAAGCATTTAACTGTCAACCAATTTATAAATGATTGACCATGGCTTTATATAATTAGCCCTAGCAAAAAGTTTGGAAAATTAGCCACGCTACTTAATTAATAACGAGATTTCAATAAAATGCGCATGGTGGTTAGTAGTTTCACTTTTACTTATTTAGCATTGTTAAACCATTACTTAGTAATAAGAGGTAAAAAAAACAATTACTGAGGCTGATAAGTACAAGAATATACTAATTAAAAGGTAAACGGAATATACCGAAATGGTCACGCTAATTAACGTTTCGTAAAATAAATTTTTGTTACCCATTTCCATATAAAAACCAATTATCTCAAGTACATATGCGTTCCAGAATGTAATTAAATAGCTTTATAAACTCAAGTTTTTACTTGTCTAAATAAAAAGCAGAGAATCCTTCTCTCTAGATCTATTTCAACAAATACAAAGTTGAAGAATTATTACGTTGAATATATTCAAGTGAGGAATATAAAATGACTTGATGGAAATTTGACAGCAGTCAAAATTTTCAAGGGTGAGACCATTAAAATAAATATTGCTTGCATTTCAAACATAGAACATAAATCAATTTGTAATGTCGACTGTCTGTCCAAATTCCTTCATATAATTAATAAGTCTTAAATTAATTCGAGTGCCGTCTATGAACATGAATTAAAGAAGTTGATGAGTACCAGAGTCAACCTAACTCAAAATTGCAAGTAAAAACCTCCATATGCTCAAAAAATAAATATTTTATTCTAAATCAAGAACGTAAACAATAGTCAGATTATAATTTACTTAAATGATAAGTCCATTCAGTGTGAAGTGTTCAACTTCAAATTATCGAATCAATAACTATAGCATTAACAACAGAACCAATAGGAATTTCCTGTGGTCCGTCGTTAACAATGGGAGGTAGTACCAGTAACAAATTAGAATTGAGACAACTAGCTAGGCAAGAACTCATTTGATTATCCATCATATCACAAGATGCACAAGGTACGGAAGGTTGGTTATATTCTGAATTCTCTTTCCAAATCAATCTCGCACGTCTGTAATCTGGACGATCACTCAGTTTAACAGAATGTAACAATCGTACACGAATACTTGGAAAGCAGCATTCTTTAGGAGGTCTTAAGTCCAACTTCCTTAATAAGGGCAAAACAAATAGATGAGCTGTTACATAACATGACACAGGATTACCTGGTAGGCAAAATGCTAACACAGGTTTTGGGTTAGTGGTGGTAGAAGCGGTGATGGCTGAATTATCACGACGAGGTATAGATAAGAATGTTGTTGGTTTTCCAGGTTTCATAAACACTCGAGCGAAGTGGAGAGTTGCATCAAAATTTTCGACTAGTATTTGACTAACCATATCACGTTCGCCCATACTTACGCCGCCTGTTGTGATCAAAATATCGCACAAGGTTAAAGCTCTGGATAAGCCCATTTTTAAGGATTTTCGATCGTCGGTTAAAATCCCACAATCTACAACATTAAAATAATTATGTTTGCGCAGTAGGTTTATTAAAACAGGGCGGTTACTGTCTCTCACCAAGGGCTTTGCTTCAGAAACAACACAATCTAAAACCTCATTTCCAGTCGATAAAACACCAATACGACATTGCTCTAGACAAGGTAGGTATCCACCTTGTAAAAGACGATCTAACACCGCGTTCGGAATTGGATCTTCACTTGTCTCGACATAATCTATATGATCAGATGACCAAGGTGTTAGCAAACCTGCACCGGAAATTAACCCTAATTCCGTCGAACCAAGGCGTAGTCCTCGCCTGAAAACAAAGTTCTTGTCTAAATCGACACCAGCTGAACGAATGAACTGCCCAATACTTCCAGGTGGAATAGTCACTTCGATTGTATCTTCCTCTTCTAAATAAAGATCCTCAGGTCCACCTTTTCGTTTAGAGATAAGCTTCGTGTTCTCTACTGGAACAACGCAATCAGCTCCAGAGGGAATGGGGCCGCCAGTACTAACACGAACACATGTGCCTGGAGTAACTACTAACTCTTTACCTGCACAGTTGTGATCCCCACCAAATAACGCCCCAACAACTTTTAGTTGACTAGCACCATCCATAAATCGAACAGCATATCCGTCCATTATGCTTGCATCAAACGGAGGAATGCACTGACGTGACTTTAAGCTTCGACCAAGAACGCGACCTAAAGCATTTTTATGAAATACTGCTTCAATCCCCATTTCAAAACTGCACACGGCGAATATTTTCTCAAGTGCTTCATCAACTGATATCATTGGATATCTAGAACTTCTACAACGACTAACGACGTTGCATGCAATTAAAGAATGTTCACGTTCCAAAATACTTTTACCCAGATTATACTGAATGGGATGTTCTAATTTTGCAAGATGATCCCAACCTTTGATTTGATGGATAGCATGTTTCATTACTGGAAGAATAACTGGGATACACTGAGAAATTGCGCGTGTACTACCTGGTAAGGTTATTAGTAGAGTTTCATTACATACTCCAGCTACAAATCGCGATAAAGCCCCCATCGGAGTATTTTGAAGTGAAATAGAATAAAGAGAGTGCTCAATACCAGGTAGACGTTGATTTTGGGAAACTAACTCAAGGATTATATCCGAAGTAACATCCCTTCTAGACAGACCTGTACCCCCTAATGTAAGTACAGCTTCTACTTGACGAGAAGCGACCCATTTCATAATTACGCAACGAATAATATGAGGGTCATCCGGGACACAATCTTTTAACGGGACGTCAAACCCTGCCTCTTGGAGTAAACTTTCAGCAACTGGGCCACTTTGATCGAGTAAAACATCCTTGGAACATGTGTCGCTGACAGTGAGGACTCCCACAGACAAGCGCGGACCTGAAAAAGACCGGGAATAATTCACTAAAGGAAGTCATCGAACGATTTAGCAACATAACAGTGGATATTTTCATTTGCAAGACTATAGGTACTGTAAAGTGATACTCGTAAGCAACGGAAGTCAAGTTCAACAGAAACTCCGAAACACAAACCATAACCACACCGTTGGATTCAAGAGTGGGAGTATGTGGGATTTATTTATTTAAGCACATAAACATTGGTGCAAGGAGGCACCAAATAGATATGTGCCACACTTCATTTGATTTGAGTGAGGGCTATGATACTGCTTAAGTGCCCAAACCGAAACAGATGGTTTTGCTTACGGAGCCACACCCAGAGTCTTTGACCTAAAGGTCTGATCCACAAGACAGTGGAGCAACGTCAGGAGATGCAGTCCCGGTGACCAACAACAGGTTCATACGCCATTTGTTCCCTCAAGATACTAGAGACCATGTACATCATTGGTTTGGAATAAGGGTTTTCCATCTCCCCTAGGTGGACTCTCCGTGTCTACAAACCCGGTTAAAGTGCCGGATATTCGCTTTCCGTGCTCTCGATTTCGTAAACAACACCACCGCCGAGAGAAGGCAGTTAGTAGGACTTTCCTGTCAGCGGCTGCATATGCGTGAGCAAGAGCATTTCGAGAGGGAAAGTGGACTCTCTCCACCCTTGGCCGTACCAAGATATTTTGGGGGAGAATTGTTGAGTTATGGGAAATGACCAGTAATAAAGTAACCACAGGAGAACTCCGCGTTTTAAAGTAATATGGAGATACCAGTGTTATCTGTTCATTAAATATGACTTATTCCAGTTTATAGTAAAAATTGAATTATAGTTCATCTTTTAGTTGCTGTCAGTAGTATTTGCAGCTCTCGTAAAACATAGTTAAAAGCCTAATGAAAACAATTACGAAGTCACAATTCTCAGTCGAAATCGTCTTTAGATTATACGGATTTCTGAAGTAGGTAGCTATTATAAACCACAACCACCTGAAAGCTGGTTCCTAAATATAGAGAACTTATCCAACCGAACAACTAATCTAGCTCAGAACAATTGAAGTTCAAAAATATAAAGCACTAGATTCCAAATTAGTGACTTAAATACTATATACTTAATGACAGGTACACAAGTCCTGGAGCGTATATTCTTGGATGAGTATACAAACACTATTCAGCAACTACTGTTGTCAAGATTATAATGCAAACCACTTTTTGTTTCGTAACTAAATCTATAGATTAATGTCACATATGTTCGACATCAGAAATAAGCTTCGTTGAAACAAAAAATAATAAAGAATTCACTATCGATTCGACAACTATTAGTAATTGAAGACTTACTTTCAAGAAGAATAAGTCAGAAAGAAAAACCAAAGGAAGGCAAACAAACAGATGTTAATAAATCGAAAATAAATCCGGACGAGATTATGTAATTTTTGCTACCGGGCAAACAGAAGCTATACTAATTTTGCAAGAGCATTACTTATCATACTGTATCAGACTATGAGTTTCCGATTATTATCACATCAGTGCTATAAAACGGTTGTTACCCTTCAATAGGACAGGTCTGTCAATAAATAAAATATTTTTTGATGTTTCACCACAAGGGCTGAATAACCTAACTTGTTTTATAACGAATTTTATCTATGTCTAGCAAATACGTAAGAACTAGTCTTTAGTGAAGCAATTTACAACTGGAACACGATTTATTCCAATGCACATAGGGATGCTTAGGTCACTGAGTCTCCTGAGGCTGGTCATTGTCACAAACCAGCAATAGATAATTGCCGGAGCAAAATTATATTTCATGTAGATATACGAACCAAAATCAGCAGATTCAAATAAAAATACAGGTGGGAAGACATTACTCAACGAAGTACTGGTCATTTTTAGGAAGTTACATTACACGAGACGTGAAGTTGGTTAAATCCATGTGAAAACCTAGAGTTGGGCGATGTTAATCAAAGATTGTGACTTAATAAGGAGAAACCTCACTCATTTTGCAAACAACCCGGAGTTAGGTAGTCTGATTTAGCCAATAACACTTCACAGTGGTCACTAACTATCTAAACAAATTCCCTCAAGGTTAAAGATCTAATAAATGACTATTATTCGAACCAACATTGTCAATTTTCCAGTTGTTAAACACACGGGGAGTTACAATGATTGAACAATTAACGAATAATCAACTAAATAATAAATAGGGCAAGAATCATACCAGTTACTTTTTCATACGACATTGGGAGAACTCTATGATGTGGAGCTATGAGAAAAAGTCCACGAGTAAATCATTAATCGGATCTCCAATACAAGTGAAAGCAGATTTTCTAAAATCGAAATTAAAATATAGCTAGTATAAGCGATTATAATTGTGACAGTGATTTAGAATGTATATCGTAGTCCCATTAACGTCCATTCTACCTCGTAATGATATTTTTTATTCAACTTTACAAAGTAAATACATCGAAAACAGGAACAGATGTAAAATTTGTAATAATAAAATCCTAATACGTCAATTCACACACGCAAGAGTCTCTGGCTTGACTTTTCCTCACAAATGAGGTGAGACGTATAAGACTGAAAGCCTTGTAAAAATTCCCCGAGTTCTAGGTAAGTTCAAGCGGTAAAAGGGGTAAATCAGATAAGCATAAGTCTCTGGATTTCGCCATACAAATTCATCACTACGCATATTAATGCATCTACTTCAAATGGCTCCCAAGTGTAGATACGGTTTCTTGAATGTGTTATGAAAGCACTTCCCATTTCAAACCTGAAAGAATCAGGCCAATTTTAAAACTGAATAAGAACAAGCAGATCACATTATCCGTCAAACTGGTTATATTCTATTAGTTAGGGATACTTCTATTTAATTCTGTAATAAATATTCTTTTAAAAATAATGTTTTGTCGTTGGAAATTTCAAGGACTGGTCCCCACAAGAAAGACCACTTATCGACATAGAATACGTAAATGACAAAGTTCTATTCAGTAAAGACGCTAACATAACACATAGCTTTGTGAAGGCCTTGAGTAACGATGTAAGGATGTTTGAGATACATTTCTCTACATCTAAATGCAAAATATTGCCCTTAGGTTGATCAGTATCATCCCTAGATAGGTCACTAGGAGTTAAGTAATTCACTGCATTGACTATTTCACTTAGCTTGAGGGTTTGCCGAATCTAGTAGTTTGATATAAGAAAAAATCCCGACATGGATTGAGAAAGCCTGACTAGTTGTGTAAATTTGCGTCACTTATAGCAATATATTAGTTTATCAATCAAAGGACAAGTATATTAAACAACAGTGAAATCTGTATTACTTTATGGCTGAAAAATATCCATACATGTATAGAACACACAAAGAATGGTATTCAATAATGGGTGACTTGAAAAAAAATGCATATGGTGAAACTATCGATGAGTACTGGATTTGGGTGCAGGGTACCTGTTACAAACTTTAGGTTGGCTGATGAGGCTATTTACCGAGATCGTTTACATATGTGATACAAACCAAAGCAGGTTAACATAAGTATAAGTTATATAGGGGCTAGGGACGGACAGAATACCATGAGGTATCAATCCACACTGTACCGAGCAAAGTCGGTAGGTGCACACTATAGTTGAGGCTGACATAGTAGTTGTAATCGACAGCTGATGACTCCAAGTAAATGTGGAATCAGTAACAGTGGTAAGGCTGTGTTCACTCGCCATCTTCCTTTAGGTCTTGAGTTGAATATGGTGCGTGAAGTTTTACTACTTAACCACCACTATCGTCGCATTCATTGAGCATACATGTTTTAAGTTTGGTAACTCTAGTGCTTTATCAGAGAGTAACAATGTACTTTTAGTTCGTCAAGTCTATTTCGACCTATCAAGTCGTTTACTCAAAAAGGATAACACTACCATTAGAGCAGTCGGGAATAGATAATATAAACGGTGTATCTTGCAGTATTTTAGCGCTTTGAGTTCCTTGCAGGACTATTCCTTAATTGGCCTCTTAAAATGATTCACAAGATACTTAGGTATGAGCCACATTCTATGTGTGAAAGTTAGCGAGACTACCTGGTTGCCCAAACCGAAGTGGACTGTTTCACATTCTAATGTGACGTTCAGCCAGAGACTTTATGCATACTAAATTGGCTAAACATACGGTAACAAACTTGGATTATACATTGTTGTAGATAAATACACTATTACCATACATATAAACGCAAGTTAGTCGGTTAACCAGTAAAAACAGTGGTGCTGGTAACAATAAGTTAATACCATGAATTTTGCAAACAAACTGGGTACATCGGAAATGACTTGGATTAAGATCATTTTACAATTATAAACCAGACCAAAAAATCGCTGCTGCGTAGACACAGTTTGATCGCACCTCATTAATATTTGTCGACACGGAATAAGTGGCTAGGTAACTAAAACTGCTTGGCAGAATCAGGGATCTACGTTTGGGTCAGCGTTCTTGACAATGGAAAAGTTTCGTTCTTATGATGTTCTTTCTGAAGGGTAAACCACGTCAGTCCTTAGTAGTGGTAGTAATCAGAAAATACGAGTCGTCACTCTCAGTACCTACGGAACTAAAGTAAAACTCGAGTCACTGTGTAAAGGAGTGTTGCTATAGCCTATGGCAAAGAGTTCTATGGTTTATTGGATCTAACTAAGGGGAAGTATGCACGGATTTATATGCAAGCTCCTTTATGTTCTATTTTAAATGGACCTTGAGTTTAATTTAGCATTAAAATCAATCAGTGACCTGTCCAGGTGGAGAGTATAACTTACAAGATAAAAGAATTATATGCCCTCTAGTCATTTTGTACTTCGCGGGTTGGAAATTTAGAGCTTCCGAGAGGGCTGAGTAGAATTTGTCGTCTAGTTAGAGTATCTTCGAAGTAACCCTTTTTTGTAGTAGTCATTTAAGGATTGAGTCTTGGGGAAATGCACTTATCACTGAGAAAAAGTCGAACTGTGTGGTCGCCCATTTAAATAATCTGAAAGTCATATCACTGAACAATCACTAGTGCCCACTAGTTTACTTTCTAGGCTGTGAACTCGATGACGAACTCTGTTGAATGCCTTAGGAATTCTAGGAGACATGAGGACAGGATGGCTGTTTCTTTGATGAGGTCCGGTTATTTCAGACATTTAATAGGTTTGTATTACATGATCTATTTCCGAGAAAACCATGTGAACCGGAAATCAAAGAACTGTTGGGCAGGTGGTTACAGAGAGATTCGTTTGGAGCTCCATACATGACCTCCGCTACTCTGATGAGCAAGGAATTTGGTTTGCCATTGAAAGTTTGAAGTTTAAATTTCAAGAACTATGATGGGAGTGGATACACAAACCCACAGACTACAATAGCCGATGTGTTATTACGGAACAGCCGGAAAAGAAGGTCACTTGTTGAAGGTATCTTTTGGAAGCCAAGTTTTACAGAAAGTAAATAAACTTGGGCATGTATTATCTATCAGCTCGCTGATCTCGGGGATTTTCCATCGTATCCCAATTACGTTACTGTATCGATAATAAATGAGAGGAGAAATTTTTGACCATCGATAAGAAGGAATGACACTTAGAGGAGTATAACCAAGTAGAAATCAAGCTCCAAGTGATATGACCGTCCCATTTTTTAGGAAGTGAGACTTATTGGTTTACGGGTGAATAGTTAACAAATATTTCGGTGGGCCTCTATCAGTAAGAAAAGTGAGCGCAGATTTATACGGTTTTAATTAATGACTGAGATCCTAGCAAGAGAAAACCACGCAAACGACCTTGGGTCTCCTTAAAGATACCGCGTGAATTTGGGATCACTTCCCAGCCTATGAGTTAGAAGTCACAATATATGTAAGTATTATCTTTGTGAAGTGCTAGTGTAGGCGACATGGTATTTTCTAGCTTCCTCTTGGTTTTTGCCATATGGCTTCAGGTCTTTTGTGACATATAATGGAAATATACTAGTTTGTAGTGACCTACTTTTATCAAGAGAACACGATTGGTATAACGGAAACAGTGATTATTATAACCAATTGTACCAGTGATTGTTTTGCTGTATCTGTTTGTCTAAGTGTACCAAAAAAGACACTTTTCCGTTGCTCTGTGGCTTTACACGAACTCATGTGCCCTCAATAGTCCTGCCTGTGAACTTTGGAACGATCTCAGTATTATTTTGATACCACAAAACCTCCAACGAATACATTTTACTACATTTATCAAACGCCTTCTGATATTTAGCCTACGGAAGGATCTAACCTAGTTACTGACACGTAGTTTTCCTGTAGTGGTGATCATAGTCAAACGCGACTCAGCGCCTACTACAAGTTCTACTAAATTGTACAGCTGATCATAGGTTTCTTGATTGAAGTTTAAGTGACTAAGTTCGCCTCATGGCATTTAGATTTCTGGTACCAGCTGCCATAAAATTACCACTCAAGAAACTGGTAGGTCTAAATAGTGAAATTTCACTCCCGTAACATCTCACCCACCAAGTATGTTTTTGAAATGATGTGCAGTATGAGAAATTACGTTTGTTCACAGATAAGAGATGAAGCGAACTGCAGATAGAAGCAATCCTATTTTGTCATTTTTCAGGCCTATACCGACTCAAAGTTCACATCTTTTATGAAATATTAAATAACTACTATCATTATAAAATCATTACAAGTCTAACAAGTCTAACTATTAGCTAGTTTATACGACTATGCTAAAATATACGTTTCGAAATGCCTTTTGTTAAAAGCAGAATGTAACTTGACGTGGAGTTCGTTTTATTTATCTAAATGAATGAAGAATCGAAGCTTAGAAGAACGAATGATAAGCATTTTTTCTATTACTTTTCTACATGCTTTAATTGTTTAATCGATTTAGTGCGTTCTTGTCCAGTTGATATATATGAACTTGCTGATTCCCGCCAGTGATAGAGGAATGATTTTATCGATGGGACCAGTGATACACGAAAAGTGTATGAACAGTCTTGAGTACTCATCAGTCCTGCTATCTGCCTAGCCAGCCAGTTAAGTCCGGAACACCAATAACAGCCTCTTCAATATGAATCAGTATTCTCAAACATACTGGGTTTATATACCAAACAAACTGATCACATCGTACCATAAAATAGAAAATAATATTTGTACAAGATTAAGCCAAATGTGGCTGTGAATAGGGGGAACAGTAATTCATAGACTGGGGATAACCCAGGAATGGTAAATCGTACAGTAATAGTCTATAGATCAAAATAAAG